CAAACAATCCTGGTTCATACTGAAGGTCAAAGAAACACACTGTGATGTTTTTAATGAGGGATGAGACGTCACTACAACACAAACAATCCTGGTTCATGATGAAGGTCAAAGAAACACACTGGGATGTTTTTAATGAGGAATGAGACGTCACTACAACACAAACAAACCTGGTTCATGTTGAAGGTCAAAGAAACACACTGTGATGTTTTTAATGAGGGATGAGATGTCACTACAACACAAACAATCCTGGTTCATGATGAAGGTCAAAGAAACACACTGTGATGTTTTTAATGAGGGATGAGATGTCACTACAACACAAACAAACCTGGTTCATGTTGAAGGTCAAAGAAACACACTGTGATGTTTTTAATGAGGGATGAGATGTCACTACAACACAAACAATCCTGGTTCATGATGAAGGTCAAAGAAACACACTGTGATGTTTTAAATGAGGGATGAGACGTCACTACAACACAAACAATCCTGGTTCATGATGAAGGTCAAAGAAACACACTGGGATGTTTTTAATGAGGGATGAGACGTCACTACAACACAAACAATCCTGGTTCATGATGAAGGTCAAAGAAACACACTGTGATGTTTTTAATGAGGAATGAGACGTCACTACAACACAAACAATCCTGGTTCATGATGAAGGTCAAAGAAACACACTGATGTTTTTAATGAGGGATGAGACGTCACTACAACACAAACAATCCTGGTTCATAATGAAGGTCAAAGAAACACACTGATGTTTTTAATGGGAGATGAGACGTCACTACAACACAAACAATCCTGGTTCATAATGAAGGTCAAAGAAACACACTGTGATGTTTTTAATGAGGGATGAGACGTCACTACAACACAAACAATCCTGGTTCATGATGAAGGTCAAAGAAACACACTGATGTTTTTAATGAGGGATGAGACGTCACTACAACACAAACAATCCTGGTTAATGATGAAGGTCAAAGAAACACACTGGGATGTTTTTAATGAGGGATGAGACGTCACTACAACACAAACAATCCTGGTTCATGATGAAGGTCAAAGAAACACACTGTGATGTTTTTAATGAGGGATGAGACGTCACTACAACACAAACAATCCTGGTTCATGATGAAGGTCAAAGAAACTCACTGTGATGTTTTTAATGAGGGATGAGACGTCACTACAACACAAACAATCCTGGTTCATGATGAAGGTCAAAGAAACACACTGTGATGTTTTTAATGAGGGATGAGACGTCACTACAACACAAACAATCCTGGTTCATGATGAAGGTCAAAGAAACACACTGTGATGTTTTTAATGGGAGATGAGACGTCACTACAACACAAACAATCCTGGTTAATGATGAAGGTCAAAGAAACACACTGGGATGTTTTTAATGAGGGATGAGACGTCACTACAACACAAACAATCCTGGTTCATGATGAAGGTCAAAGAAACACACTGATGTTTTTAATGAGGGATGAGACGTCACTACAACACAAACAATCCTGGTTCATACTGAAGGTCAAAGAAACACACTGTGATGTTTTAAATGAGGGATGAGACGTCACTACAACACAAACAATCCTGGTTCATGATGAAGGTCAAAGAAACACACTGATGTTTTTAATGAGGGATGAGACGTCACTACAACACAAACAATCCTGGTTCATAATGAAGGTCAAAGAAACACACTGTGATGTTTTTAATGAGGAATGAGACGTCACTACAACACAAACAATCCTGGTTCATGATGAAGGTCAAAGAAACACACTGTGATGTTTTTAATGAGGAATGAGACGTCACTACAACACAAACAATCCTGGTTCATGAAGGTCAAAGAAACTCACTGTGATGTTTTTAATGAGGGATGAGACGTCACTACAACACAAACAATCCTGGTTCATGATGAAGGTCAAAGAAACACACTGTGATGTTTTTAATGAGGGATGAGACGTCACTACAACACAAACAATCCTGGTTCATGAAGGTCAAAGAAACACACTGTGATGTTTTAAATGAGGGATGAGACGTCACTACAACACAAACAATCCTGGTTCATAATGAAGGTCAAAGAAACACACTGTGATGTTTTTAATGAGGGATGAGATGTCACTACAACACAAACAATCCTGGTTCATGATGAAGGTCAAAGAAACACACTGTGATGTTTTAAATGAGGGATGAGACGTCACTACAACACAAACAATCCTGGTTCATGATGAAGGTCAAAGAAACACACTGTGATGTTTTTAATGAGGGATGAGACGTCACTACAACACAAACAATCCTGGTTCATACTGAAGGTCAAAGAAACACACTGATGTTTTTAATGAGGGATGAGACGTCACTACAACACAAACAATCCTGGTTCATGATGAAGGTCAAAGAAACACACTGTGATGTTTTTAATGAGGGATGAGACGTCACTACAACACAAACAATCCTGGTTCATGATGAAGGTCAAAGAAACACACTGTGATGTTTTTAATGAGGGATGAGACGTCACTACAACACAAACAATCCTGGTTCATAATGAAGGTCAAAGAAACACACTGATGTTTTTAATGGGAGATGAGACGTCACTACAACACAAACAATCCTGGTTCATAATGAAGGTCAAAGAAACACACTGGGATGTTTTTAATGAGGGATGAGACGTCACTACAACACAAACAATCCTGGTTCATGATGAAGGTCAAAGAAACACACTGTGATGTTTTTAATGAGGGATGAGACGTCACTACAACACAAACAATCCTGGTTCATGAAGGTCAAAGAAACACACTGTGATGTTTTTAATGAGGAATGAGACGTCACTACAACACAAACAATCCTGGTTCATACTGAAGGTCAAAGAAACACACTGTGATGTTTTTAATGAGGGATGAGACGTCACTACAACACAAACAATCCTGGTTCATACTGAAGGTCAAAGAAACACACTGTGATGTTTTTAATGAGGGATGAGACGTCACTACAACACAAACAATCCTGGTTCATAATGAAGGTCAAAGAAACACACTGTGATGTTTTTAATGAGGGATGAGATGTCACTACAACACAAACAGTCCTGGTTCATGATGAAGGTCAAAGAAACACACTGGGATGTTTTTAATGAGGGATGAGATGTCACTACAACACAAACAATCCTGGTTCATGATGAAGGTCAAAGAAACACTCTGTGATGTTTTTAATGAGGGATGAGACGTCACTACAACACAAACAATCCTGGTTCATGATGAAGGTCAAAGAAACACACTGTGATGTTTTTAATGAGGGATGAGACGTCACTACAACACAAACAATCCTGGTTCATGATGAAGGTCAAAGAAACACACTGTGATGTTTTTAATAAGGAATGAGACGTCACTACAACACAAACAATCCTGGTCCATGATGAAGGTCAAAGAAACACACCGTGATGTTTTTAATGAGGAATAAGACGTCACTACAACACAAACAATCCTGGTTCATGATGAAGGTCAAAGAAACACACCGTGATGTTTTTAATGAGGGATGAGACGTCACTACAACACAAACAATCCTGGTTCATGATGAAGGTCAAAGAAACACACTGTGATGTTTTTAATGAGGGATGAGACGTCACTACAACACAAACAATCCTGGTTCATGAAGGTCAAAGAAACACACTGTGATGTTTTTAATGAGGGATGAGACGTCACTACAACACAAACAATCCTGGTTCATGATGAAGGTCAAAGAAACACACTGGGATGTTTTTAATGAGGGATGAGACGTCACTACAACACAAACAATCCTGGTTCATGATGAAGGTCAAAGAAACACACTGTGATGTTTTTAATGAGGAATGAGACGTCACCACAACACAAACAATCCTGGTTCATAATGAAGGTCAAAGAAACACACCGTGATGTTTTTAATAAGGAATGAGACGTCACTACAACACAAACAATCCTGGTTCATGATGAAGGTCAAAGAAACACACTTGGATGTTTTTAATAAGGAATGAGACGTCACTACAACACAAACAATCCTGGTTCATGATGAAGGTCAAAGAAACACACTGGGATGTTTTTAAGCCAAGTAATCATTCGATATTTTGTTTTCAGTTAAGAAAAAGGTAAATACTGACTTGTGAATTTGTGATAACATTGAAAATGTTACTTTTAGCTTATTATCTATATTTTGTCATTTATTACCAATTTCCTTAGGCGCTGACATCAAATGATATTATTTATCATATTTGGTATACCTAAGAAGCCAGACCGCCCAAATCCAGCCAATCACCAATCACAACATACATCACGTGACGATCACGTGTGCAATATTTTTTTCACCCTGAACATGGCGTGTGTAACATTGAGATGTAAACAATTTCTTTTCCCAAGTTAACAATTCTTATTTCAATGAAGCTTCAGTGAATCAGCATACAAATTTCAAAGGTATCGAGCCTGAGCCGAGTCTTACCCCTCAGGTACTCGAGTCCATATTTTTGGACCTGTTGAAGCCCTACTCTGAAACTATAAGGCCAAGAGAGCTGAAACTGTGTATGAATCATCCCAGTTAAAGTTTCTCTGAAAGCTTCTCACAGAATTCCGATGTGACTTAAAACATGGATTTACCTGGTGATGTGTTGAATGTGTTGAATGTATTCTCCAGCATGGCGTGGTCTGGGTTGTGTTCTATGTCAACATGGAGGCTTCACTTACCTGGTGATGTGTTGAATGTATTCTCCAGCATGGTGTGGTCTGGGTTGTGTTCTATGATAACATGGAGGCTTCACTTACCTGGTGATGTGTTGAATGTATTCTCCAGCATGGTGTGGTCTGGGTTGTGTTCTATGTCAACATGGAGGCTTCACTTACCTGGTGATGTGTTGAATGTATTCTCCAGCATGGCATGGTCTGGGTTGTGTTCTATGTCAACATGGAGGCTGCACTTACCTGGTGATGTGTTGAATGTATTCTCCAGCATGGCATGGTCTGGGTTGTGTTCTATGTCAACATGGACGCTTCACTTACCTGGTGATGTGTTGAATGTATTCTCCAGCATGGCGTGGTCTGGGTTGTGTTCTATGTCAACATGGAGGCTGGTCAGAAGTATCATCTTCTCAACTTTACTGAAACAAACAATGGACAATATACTATCATATATAATATACCACTATCCGGCAAGTGCATTTGGTCAATATTAAGTGAGCAAGTGATATGTTGTTTGTTTGTTTGTTTAACGTCGCACTCAGCAATATTCCAGCTTTGTGATAGCGGTCTGTAAATAATTGAGTCTGGACCAGACAATCCAGTGATTGATATCATGAGCATCGATCCACACAATTTGGGATACGATGACATGCATGAACCATGTCAGCAAGCCTGGCACTGGCATGATCTCACACGCCCTTCTATAAATAGATTTGATCACTAAGATCTCACTCACCCTTCTATACAGAGATTTGATCACTAAGATCTCACTCACCCTTCTATACAGAGATTCGATCACAAAGATCTCACTCACCCTTCTATGCAGAGATTTGATCACTAACATCTCACTCACCCTTCTATACAGAGATTTGATCACTAAGATCTCACTCACCTTCTATACAGAGATTTGATCACTAAGATCTCACTCACCTTCTATACAGAGAATTGATCACTAAGATCTCACTCACCCTTCTAAACAGAGATTTGATCACTAAGATCTCACTCACCCTTCTATACAGGGATTTGGTCACTAAGATCTCACTCACCTTCTATACAGAGATTTGATCACTAAGATCTCACTCTACCTTCTGTACAGAGATTTGATCACTAAGATCTCACTCACCCTTCTATACAGAGATTTGATCACTAAGATCTCACTCACCCTTCTATGCAGAGATTTGATCACTAAGATCTCACTCACCTTCTATACAGAGATTTGATCACTAAGATCTCACTCACCCTTCTATACAGAGATTTGATCACTAAGATCTCACTCACCCTTCTATACAGAGATTTGATCACTAAGATCTCACTCACCCTTCTATGCAGAGATTTGATCACTAAGATCTCACTCACCCTTCTATACAGAGATTTGATCACTAAGATCTCACTCACCCTTCTATGCAGAGATTTGATCACTAAGATCTCACTCACCCTTCTATGCAGAGGTTCATTATTTTCCTGGCAACATAGTGACACTTGTCACCGGGCAGGTGAGTGTTGACAACTACCACAGAGAACTGGAAAAATAGCAGCGTGTGACAATCATGTGACAATCACGTGACAATCATGTGACATTCATGTGATAAAAGAAAAACTTCACATAAAGTCACATAAATATAGAAATTCCACTAATGACTTTTCTTAGCTGTTGAACAGGTGGCGATTCAACTCTTGGTTATTCAGGTTCTTTTACCACCATAACCATAGTGAGTGAGTGAGTGAGTGAGTGAGTGAGTGAGTGAGCTGGGTTTAACTCCGCTTTGAACAGTATTCCAGTTATTTCACAGTGTGTCAGTTTGATGGGGGATATAACCCCAAACTGATGCACCTTAGACAACTGGGCCACCCCTGCACCCCAAAATCATAAAACTGGTAAATAAATATATAATTACCAATATTCAAGGTCTTTTCTATGTATTTTTACCGTATAGCAGGAATATGTAGGCACACAGTGTACATACTGCCATGGGACCTGTTACACAAAGTGATGTAAGTCTATGTTAAAGTATGGGAGTTACGTCTTAGGGTAAAGACGGCTTTGTGGAACAGAGCCCTGGATGACCGAGGATGAGGTGAGACCTCAAAATTAATAACTGTTTAACTACACTACACTACGTCAATAACGAACACGCTTATAACAAACTGACAGATATAAAGAATGAAATTTTTGGTCAGCTGCATTTGCTGTATTTATGTTGTATATCTGCTTTTAACGAACTGTGGTAAAAATGAACTAAAATTAGTTGTCCCTTTGAGTTTGTTAGAACCGTAGTTTCCTGTACTGTACTCTAAAATAAACAGTTAAACCATGTGAGCTTGAAGTTATTGGAATCATCGAAAGTATATCAAGTTATTCGTAGAAATGAAAGGAAAGATGATATATAGGATGATATATAGCCAGCCAGGATTCTACTTGAACATGAGTGTTGCATCATGTTGTACAGTATATCAAATTAATGTTAAGTGGGTTTAATTGTACAGGAAACTGAAATATTGAAAGAGCCCAATAACATAAATAACACCATCCAAAAGTAGGCAGACTGTTGTCAAAGAAAAAAACTGTGATACCAGAAAATAAGTGCATTTTGTGGTATTGTTAGTGCTACAAGTACTGTTCAGTGAAAAATACTGAAAAATTATATAATTCAATAATTGCAAGCTTGAACCCACCAGACTGAAAAATACACAATTTTAATATCCGACCAATAACTTTGTGTTGCCTAGCTTTTCTTGCAGTCTGGCAGGAGAAATAATGTCTTGTGAGGGTTGTAACAGACTGTTTAGTTTGGAAAGAATATGACGTACAGTGAAATCTATTCATTATCAATTTTGGCTTCTCAATAATGAAAACCCTGTTTCAATCTATCCACTGTAGTCTGGCATCCCCCCCCCCCCAACACACACACACACACCCCACCCACCCCACCCAGCACCCCATCCCTCCAACAACATTGGCCTAGAAAATTGGTAAAACAAGAAACAGAACTGGTCTAGCCTTAGCCATCTTCCTGATGCAAGGGAATTAACTGACTATAAAAGTCCATTTTCCACCCTGGCCGAACTAGGCTGTAATTATGGAATTACGTTTTTGCTGGACTAACGAGTCTATGCATAGTCAAATTAAAATTGCGTAATGAAATCAACATATGGGACATTAACTGTCATGCAGATTTTGGTCGATTGCATGATTTGCAAAGCATGTGTACTATCAAGTTGGTGTCAACATTAATTTCCAAATTTTTCATGTTTTTAATCAACATGATCAAGGTGCTAACGTGATTTGATGCACTTTGCGAAGTAAGACCCGTTTTATTACAACACAGATCTTGATTATCGATCAGATTGTCTTCACTGGGCGACACCATTTTATTTGAAGCAAATGCAAGTGATATGAGAGGTGGACTCTGATTGGTCAATAGGAGGACATAGAAGTCACATAAATCATAATAGCCACTGATGGTGCTACAATCGAGCCCAAAATATTCCGGCCTAGTTCGGCAAGGGTGGAAACTGGACCTTTGCAGTCAGTTAACTCCCTTGCCTCAGGAACATGATACTTATCTGAAATAAGTTTCACAACAAAATCATAAAAGCAAACTGCTCATAAAATAATTAGCATCAACTAGACACAAGCCATCATGAAATAATCTACAGAATCCTAAAAGAAATTGTGTTGATATCAAAGAGAAAATTTGGAAAATATGAATAGCTGTTAATATCCTTTGCTTAATCAAATTTATGTGTTTTCATGGATACAGTGTATTATACGACATTTCATTGACATTGATATAAAGTTCATGTCACAGTTATACCATTATGATTATGATGATTATTTAGTGATGCCATGCTTAACCAATCTAAACTATCAAAACTTCAGCCTGCTTTATCTGGAACCTGTACTGTCAACTATGTCGACGTTCATCTTCAAGAAATGCCTGTCAAACAATTGACTTAAACGTACATTTGTTGAAGCTGGGATAGCATGACCACTGGCTAAACAGCATCCAACTCATTGTGCTCACCGCAGGAACACACATCTGCATCATAGCACTGTTTTTATCAGACCCGTGAAGATCCGGGATAGAATAGGTCTTCAGCAACCCATGCTTCCCGTAAAAGGCGACTATGCTTGTCGTAGGAGGCGACTAACAGGATCGGGTGGTCAGGCTTGCTGACTTGGTTGATGCATGTCATTGATCCCAATTGCATGGATCGATGATCATGATGTTAATCACTGGATTGTCTGGTCAAGACTCGATTATTTACAGACTGCCGTCATATATTTGCAATATTGCTGAGTGCGGCGTTAAACAACAAACCAACCAACCAACCAATCCTTCACGTAATCTTAATAACAAATCCTAAGCAAAACATGTTCATTTTTCAATTGATATTACCGTATTCGATGTAATAAGCGCCGAGGCGATATTTCATAATATATTGGCTAGTGAACAATCCCAATTAGCACCCCTGCCGATTGATCAATGTACACAAGACTTATTTATTCGTGTATGATACGCACCCTTAATTATGGGCAATTAAATTCTCGAAAATATATCTATCGTGTATAATACGCACAGATTCTTCTTTTATATCATTTCAGGCTGTCAGCATAAACCACAATATTTACAATCTTTCAACTTTGTTTTTTATTTCACCAAAATTATATTCTAATAAGAGCCACCTATTTCTTATTTTGAGAGCGCCCTCGGCGCTTATTACATAGAATACGGTAGTTCGAATGAGTTAGTGAGTGAGTGAGTGAGTGAGTGAGTGAGTGAGTGAGTGAGTGATAGTTGACCAACTTTAATTGGCTCTGTGACATAGTATTGATTACCTTCTGCAGAGTTGTTATTGAGACAAGTTCCAAATAAACTAAATGTTCAAGGCAAAAAAGAAAATAGTCTTGGTTCTCAGGCACTGCCCACATATCATAAAGTCTGCCGCACATTTCGTTTTTTATTTCCATTTTCAAAAAAAAATTAAAATCCTAAAACTGAAAAACAATGCGATCCAATATAGCACACAGTTACCTCCCTTTACATACCCACTGCTTTACTGCACATCTCGTGTTATGGCCATGGCAGCAATAGGAGTTTGTATGCTTGTTTATGTAGGGCGGCCCTTTCCCAGGTTGATGGTACACAACTGTTTATTTGGTGACATACTAGTTTGAACACACAAAAAGAAAAAACCACACCGCCCGCCCACACTATATTTTCAAAAGTCATTGCCTGAGATCCAATTCTTTTATTTTTTTAAATCTAATCAGTATTAAAATGTGAAAAAACATTCAGCAAATAATTGTTTACCTCCTCAGCATCCTGTGCAAAGATCAGCAAATCATATTTAATACATTTTCTCATATCTTATGGCTTACAAAAGGTATTTTTAAACCAACAGGCCTTATCAAGGCATTACTTCAAATACAATGTCTCTACAGAATATGACTAGAGAAATTGTGGAGGTATGTATCAACATTAACTACTAAGAACTTTGCATTGTTTAACTTGCTAAGTACTCGTGAACTCAGAATTTATCTGTCTAACAAAATATATACTATTCTAAGGAAAAATATGAATGCGCTCCCAAAATGAGCTATCATCATGATTGTTTTAAAAAAAAATTTCCTTTAATATCTTCATGACACTGACTCGGGGTGACCTTGACCTTGACCTCTTACCTGTTCATATTTACAGTTGAGAACTTGGATCGACTGGAAGTTTTGTTCAGTGGGTTCCGGGGCCGCGTCTCGCACGCATGCTGGTTTATAATTGGCGATCTCCGGGACTTCTAGACTGTAGTACTCTTTACGCATATTGATTCCAAGCAGGGCACGACTTAAAAAAATAAGAAAAAAATCATTTATAGGGTCTGCAGCTCACACTGATTGTGTTAGGAACCGTGGAGGTTTTACTGCTTGGTTTTTTAGAGTCCACGGACCCATTATGTAGGGCTGGGGCGGGTAACTCGGGCTCTCAGGTCGGGTGGGTACTGAGCAGGACCCGGGTACCCACAGGACTATGCACGCATCCCTTCTGACTTTTATATGTTTGAAAAAGAAGATAAAACTTCATGCAGTAAACTTCAGCGCATTCATGACCAGATCGTTTTATATGTGTATCTAAATCATTTTTGCCAGGGTTACAGTCAATCTTTTCGCAATTGGAAAGTTTTTACCTATCTCTAGCGATCTACAGCGGGTTCCTGGATAGGGTCGGGTAACAGGGGGTGGGTACCTGAGGTAGTAAATTTGGACTCGTCCCAGCCCTACCACTGAATCTATTTTTTAACATTAGGGTAAATGCAACGACCCCTTGACTTCCATTCTTAATTTTAAGCACTGCATTAATATTAATGAACAACTGGGTTGCATCTATAATTGATTTGAGGGATGAGTGAGTGAACTTTCACTTAAGATGTCTGACCTCCTTGATCTGGTTGGCTATCCAACTTGATCAAGCAAATTACAAACCAATACAGATAGTTAAGGTGTGAATTTGGACCCTTTTACACTTACCATATTCGACGTAATAAGCGCCGCTCTAATAAGCACCCACAGCGATGTTTGCTAATATATTGGCTAATGAACAATCCCAATTAGCACCTGTTTCGATTGATCAATGTAATACGTGTGTTATATGCACCCTTAATTATGGGACATCAAATTCTGGAAAAATATATCTGTCGTATATAAACATTTCAGGCTGTCAGCATAAACCATGAAATTTACGATCTATCAACTCTGTTGTTTTTCACCAAAATAATGTTCTAATAAGAGCCCCCTATTTCTAATTTTGAGTGAGTGAGTGAGTGAGTTATTATTTAACGTCACATGGGCCTAATTTTGAGAGCGCCCTGGGCGCTTATTATGTCGAATACGGTAATTGACTATTTAGGTTGATCTATGTTGACATTGCCTATGTCGTGTCTATAAAAACTAGTCTTCATTTAATTCATAAATATTTAGACAGACTTATTGTCCAGAAACAGTTATCAACAAAGCCATGATAGCACCCATTGACCTAGATGACACTGACTGACTATCGAACCTGACCTGACTTTCACAAGTTACATAGGCCTTCTTAACTGAAGGAATTCGGATTATATTAGTCAATATTTCTTGACATTGTTGCTCAAAAAGATTTCCTGGTTACAACATGCATCATCAAGACTCAATAACGTTGATCGATTGAATGAGTGAGTGAGTGAGTTGGGTTTAACGCCGCTTTTAACAGTATTCCAGTTATATCACAGCATGTCAGCTTAATGTGGGAGGAAAGCCTGAAGTGATGCAGGTCTCAGACGTTTACCACTTCGGTGAAATCCACGAGCACGGGTATGGTGCTGACAAACCTAGAAACATAATCCAGGGCGAACCGGGATTTGAACCCACAATCATAGGTTTCTGGGGTGCCCAAGGGACGCAACTCTGCACAGCGAATTGCGGCGCCTTAGACAACTGGGCCACCCGTGCCCCCTCGATTGAATGAAAGTTATTGAACTCCACCTGATTTCAAATACTTGAAGTTACATTCAAGTCATTTTCAGGTCACAACTGACTGTTTGCCATATAAGAGAAGGACCACGAAATAATAATTTACTTAACATTTATGTTTGTAACTAGTGTGTAATGATAAATCAACCATGTGCTGTGATGTGAAGGATCTACACACTGAAAGCAAAATGTGAAAAATTTTCCTCTCTGAAAATGGCACATGAACCTCATTGTAGATGATAAATAGAGATGATTACACGAGCATGTGTGTCATACTGATTTTATGAGTGTGAGAGGGAGGGTAATACATGAATTCTTAGACAAATCTCTTCAAATGGGTATGACACACATGCAAACATAATAACTTCTTCAATACCCATTATTTCTTAATTTTTTGGGGTCCCCTCAAGACACAAACATGGATTACGATCGCCGCCTTAAAAACCAAAAATGTTGAATAAAGTTGACAATCTTCAGCTATGATGTCATTTCTAGTGTGATGTCATTCAGACCTTACATCACGATAAGATTCGGGCGGTCGGGTAGCCTAGTGGTTAAAGCGTTCGCTCGTCACGCCGAAGACCCGGGTTCGATTCCGACATGGGTACAATGTGTGAAGCCCATTTCTGGTGTCCCCCGCCGTGATATTGCTGGAATAGTGCTAAAAGCGGCGTAAAACCATACTCACAATAAGATTCGAAATGACGTCAATAACGTCATCCGGATGACGGAAACAATGCACCGATGCGCGTGAAGTGATATCTGCACCTGTGCACATATGATTTTTATGAACTCGTTATCTTAAACTCCATGAGCAATGAAGCAAGTTATTACGGTATTGGTGGTAGCAGGGAGCTTGACTCATTATGGATGGACATGTAACGTGTAATATGGATGGACATGTAACGAATGTGTCAGTGTGCCAGCAAGGAGAGCTGAATCAGCACATGCACAAACATTAGTCAGCATATTCCTCACAGGGATGACCTAGGATTCCAAAGTGCTCAGACATTAGTCAGCATATTCCTCACAGGGATGACCTAGCATTCCAAAGTGCTCAGACAATAGTCAGCAAACTCCTCACAGGGATGACCTAGGATTCCAAAGTGCTCAGACAATAGTCAGCAAACTCCTCACAGGGATGACCTAGGATTCCAAAGTGCTCAGACATTAGTCAGCAAATTCCTCACAGGGATGACCTAGGATTCCAAAGTGCTCAGACAATAGTCAGCAAACTCCTCACAGGGATGACCTAGGATTCCAAAGTGCTCAGACATTAGTCAGCAAACTCCTCACAGGGATGACCTAGGATTCCAAAGTGCTCAGACATTAGTCAGCAAATTCCTCACAGGGATGACCTAGGATTCCAAAGTGCTCAGACATTAGTCAGCAAATTCCTCACAGGGATGACCTAGGATTCCAAAGTGCTCAGACAATAGTCAGCATATTCCTCACAGGGATGACCTAGGATTCCAAAGTGCTCAGACAATAGTCAGCAAATTCCTCACAGGGATGACCTAGGATTCCAAAGTGCTCAGACAATAGTCAGCATATTCCTCACAGGGATGACCTAGGATTCCAAAGTGCTGAGACAATAGTCAGCAAATTCCTCACAGGGATGACCTAGGATTCCAAAGTGCTCAGACAATAGTCAGCATATTCCTCACAGGGATGACCTAGGATTCCAAAGTGCTCAGACAATAGTCAGCAAATTCCTCACAGGGATGACCTAGGATTCCAAAGTGCTCAGACAATAGTCAGCATATTCCTCACAGGGATGACCTAGGATTCCAAAGTGCTCAGACAATAGTCAGCAAATTCCTCACAGGGATGACCTAGGATTCCAAAGTGCTCAGACAATAGTCAGCATATTCCTCACAGGGATGACCTAGGATTCCAAAGTGCTCAGACAATAGTCAGCAAATTCCTCACAGGGATGACCTAGGATTCCAAAGTGCTCAGACAATAGTCAGCAAATTCCTCACAGGGATGACCTAGGATTCCAAAGTGCTCAGACAATAGTCAGCATATTCCTCACAGGGATGACCTAGGATTCCAAAGTGCTCAGACAATAGTCAGCATATTCCTCACAGGGATGACCTAGGATTCCAAAGTGCTCAGACAATAGTCAGCAAATTCCTCACAGGGATGACCTAGGATTCCAAAGTGCTCAGACAATAGTCAGCAAATTCCTCACAGGGATGACCTAGGATTCCAAAGTGCTCAGACAATAGTCAGCAAATTCCTCACAGGGATGACCTAGGATTCCAAAGTGCTAAGACAATAGTCAGCAAACTCCTCACAGGGATGACCTTGGATTCCAAAGTGCTCACGGCAGACAAATAAAAAAACAACAACTTTTGTTCACAATTGAGATTTTTCCAAAGTTCATATTTTCCTGAAGTCTGAGGTATTTTAACACTGTACTTTGGCATTGCATTCAATGCAATAATGTAAAACTAGGCATTATAGCCTCTTTATTTTTCTTGGTCCTGTTATCAATAAAATACAAGTAAGGCCAGGCTTTTTTTATTTTTAGGATTACAGATTTTTCAGCCCAAAGTCCAGGGTTGGGGGAGGGGTAAAAAAGAAAAGAAAAAAAGCCAGATGCATTTTTTTTAATGCAGAATGCCTCTGGCATACTTTATGAACATATTCTGTGCTCAAAAGACTGCCATTTGTGACAATAAAGCCCCTACCGCTTACAACACGGACAATTGTCAAGGGAGGCTATTCATGTCCAGCTTCGAGATCAACAAAGATCGATTATGTATCTCTTTACTAGTTTACAATGGTACTGTTTTTTATTAAAAGGTGATGATAACAAATTAAATAACTGACTACACGGCTATCGGCGGGAAAAAAATGGAAATCTGATTTATTTATTTTTACATTTTCTCAAAAATTAGAGTCGGCGGGTCCCTAATCCGAAAAATATAAAATGCCTGGCCTAAACTCTACAAACCCATAACAATAGTTATAACTGTAACATAATCGGGATATTCCAATTTGGTAAATTTCCCTGACATTTGCTGCAGACTTGGGGCCACATACTGGCCTCTGAGCTGATGTAGATAAATCCATGTTCAATAGGGGTGGCACGATAAATCGAAATATCGATATACTGCTATTGTTAAGCACTTAAAGTCAATAAATCGATTGTTAAATCAGTTTCGTTAATAGTATCGATTTCAGTTTGGAATTTCGATAGTTTCGATTGTATTTACCATATCATTGAGTGACCGAAACGCTTGCGAACGCAGTCGAGTGAGGATTAGAGTTAACTGCCCTTGATGCTTAGCAACCGGTCTTTCTTAAAGTAAATTGGCGGTGGGTGACAGTCACGTGGAGTTGACAAATTTGGGTGGAAAATCGAGTGTTTGGAAGTCTTATGACTATCACATTCACAGGAAACTTCAGTTCCAAGGTTTAATTCAACTCTAAAATCCATCTACAATGATACACTGAAAACTATCGATATTTATCACAATATTGCTTGCAATATCTCAATAGTTTCTTTGAATGTCAATAGTTATCGCAATAGTGATTTCCAGACCAATAGTCGCCCCTAATGTTCATCATGGTCTCAAATCAAGTATGAATTGGAGGTGTGAGTTTGGTGTTACCCTCCTTTTAGCAATATTTCAGGAACATTACGACAAGGCCACCATAATGGGCTTAACACATTGACGAGCAAGTATTCAATAACTAGGTTCCTGCAACTGCCCCCTCTGAGCTGAGGTGAGGTGAAATAGGGTTTAACGTCGCTTCCAAGATTATTGCACTTATATAGCGACGTGCATGTACGTATGCATGTTTATGTGGCTGCTTGTACTAGTCCGGACTGATGCCGGTTTATAGTGCTAGCTCACTCAGATACCATGCCGCAGTTTAACATGAATACCCCACTCAGACACAGTATACTGACTCCGAGCCGACCAGTCCTTGCTTTAGCCCCTTAATGCCGAGCGCCAGGCAGGGTAACAACAAGTACCATCTTTTAACGTCTTTTGGTATGACGCGGCCAGGGATCGAACCCCGGACCTTCCGCTCTCCGGGTGGATGCTCTACCACTAGACCATGGAGGCGGTCCGATTTGAGATGAGACTACAATAATTAGAAGACAAAGTTTTCATGTAATCAGCTCCACACTACTTATAAGTTATCATGATGTAACATTCATACAAATTTTCACACAATTATGGAACAGCAAGTAATATATATTAGGATCCAGAAAAAATGCAGATACAAAATTTAAGTACCGTATTCGACGTAATAAGCGACCAGTGCACTCTCAGAATTAGAAATAGGGGGCTCTTATTAGAATATATTATTTTAGTGAAAGAGTCAAAAGATCGTTAATTTTATGGTTTCTGCTGACAGCCTGAAATGATACAAAAGAAAAGTCTGTGCGTATTATACACGACAGATATATTTTTAAAGAATTTAATTGCCCGTAATTAAGGGTGCATATATGGCACACGAGTGCGTATTATACATGAATAAATGTACACGAATTGTTAACATTGATGAGTCAGGAGAGTGCTAATTGGGATTGTTCACTAGCCAATATATTGGCAAATATCGCCGTTGGTGCTTATTAGAGTGGGGCGCTTATTACGTTGAATACGGTAGTTTCAGATATAGCTTTTAGATAAATACTAGCCTAAGGTAACAAGAACCCATCTGACAGACATAATATAGAAAAAGAGAAAAGTTATGTCAACATAGTTTAATAGATTCCCTGAACTTTTTTATTTAAGTAAACCAGTCATCACCTATACTAGAACAGCATTAAAATAATACTTCAATTTAGACTCATTAAGGTTTAGCTCGTCTATAGTGATATCATAATGTCTTTCCAAGCACCCAGTAAATATGCCAACAAGATTGGTGTCAGTCAGGATTAAGTATTCCCCTCTGTCTAGCCATTCATTAACTGTAGGGCACACCCCATTGTGTATCAACCAATCGTATTCCTTTTACTGTTCTAGTTTTAGTTAAACAGATAGAGAAGCAAGATGTTAGGCAGTAGGGGTTTGATGCTCAAACCACGGTGACCTCTTACCCACAGCCCAGAGGCATCCACAGCTATATTTAAGATATTGTTCATTGTTCATACTGTTATTGTAAATAAAATTGCAATTAGTCTCCTGTGACTCTGGCTCTTTGTTGACTAATTCCCCATGAAAACCAGCACTTGGAAGGTTTTGAAAATCAGAACAGCAGATTCATAACAATCCCTTTGAATATATTATTAAAACAAGTACATGTGTATCACATTTCTGATCATAACTATCAAAACTATGACTAATAATAACAAATGAAACAAAAACTGATTTCTCAAACTTAATGATTATTCCCGATGTCAACAATCGAGTTATAGTAGATATATACTCACCGCCAAAAGCAACGCGAAGAAGTAAGTACGTTAAGAAGGGATGTTTCCAATGTGTACCACTTAATGTCAAAACTAACAATCAGTCAAGTGTTACTACAGTGTCTTTATTCTTATTATGATATGCTGTATGTGATTTCCAAATGATGCATCGCGAGTTACAGATCTATGACGTCACAAGAGAGGCGTTCTAAACATTGATTCACACAACATACCAGTATGTACGTCTGTGCATTGGACCAATCTAATATCTCTTGAATATGAGTAATTCTTCAAATATTAACCAAAATGCATGGTTTTCGCGTTTCTTTTGTCAGTGAGTATAATTTATCAAATTGTCATAAGAAACAAAACTACAACTACAACTTAATTCAAAGTCTGATGAATGGTTAAAAAATAGTCATAAGAAGAAGAGAAAAAAAGAAGAAGTTAATTTATAATTATTTGCTTGAACCCATTAACTTTGAAGATTCTAAAAATAAGAAACTAAAATAATTCAGAAGTAACTGTCACTTTTAATATTATAAAATAAATTTGATTCTTATGTACCCCATGACCTCCTTCGGCTACAGCCCCTGCGAATCAAGTTGTAAAAAGATGACATTTGAGTTGAGAAGTTGTTTCTAAACAGTGCTTAAAAAATTATATTGATCAGGGATTGGGGCAATTGTAAACAAATACATGTTTATCTTATTTTGACATCTTCCCGAGGCAAGGGAGTTAACTGACTCTAAAAGTCCAGTTTCCACCCTTGCTGAGCTAGGCTGGAATTTCTCGGCGCAGTTGAAGTGCCACCAGTGGCTATTACAAGTCATGTCCCTTCTATGTCCCTCCTATAGACCAATCAGATTCCACCACTCATATCACTTGCATTTGCTTCAAACAACATGGCGGCGCCCGGTCAAGATGATCTAATCGATGATCAAGATCTATAGTGTAATAAAACAGTCTTACATTGTGAAGTGCATCAAATCATGTGAGCACATTGATTAAAAACATGAAAAGATTTGGAAAATATCTGTCGACACTGAGTTTTTGGTACATATCTTTTGCAAATCTTGTTGTAGATCGAAATCTGCTCGTTAAAATCCCTGTTGTTTACGGAGCTAATGTCAATTTCGTTTCTCGAATTTGACTGGACTATCCATACACTCTTTAGTCCAGCCAAATTGTAATTCCATAATTGCAGCCTAGTTCTGCAAAGGGTGGAAACTGGACTTTCACAGTCAGTTAACTCCCTTGCTTCGGGAGGATGTATTGCGAACAACACAAGCTCTTGGTTTACAAAAAACGTGCAAAGCATGAAACAAAATATTGCCTAGAACATCCTGTAGAGTAATTGCCAACAGCAGGCCATGCATTGATCTGGAGTATGGAACATGAGCTGAGGGTGAATATCTATGTTAATATTCGACGTAATAAGCGCCCCGCTCTAATAAGTGCCCACGGCGATATTTGCTAATATATTGGCATGTGAACAATCCCAATTAGCACCCCTTCCGATTGATCAATGTAAACAAGAATTATTCATTCGCGTATAATACGCACTTTGTATATGCACCATTAATTATGGGTAATTTAATTCTGGAAAAAAATATATCTGTCGTGCATACTAGTATACATTTCAGGCTGTAAGCATAAACCACGAAATTTATACTTCAACTCTGTTTTTTTTCACCAAAATAATATTTTAATAAGAGCCCCCTATTTCTAATTTTGAGAGCGCCCTGGGCGCTTATTACGTCGAATACGGTATTTGTCCTACCTGGCAGCAGCTGTCACATCAGTGTAGGCCAGGAATACGGTCTTCTTCAGATGGAGCTCACCACTGTCAGCAGCAGGCTCTACGGTGGCCTTCACAGTCTGTTCTCCCGGCATCATGCGACTTTCCCCGCGGATGAAAACAATCTCAAATTACTGAACATATCATGTGGTTGTAGCAGGGAGTGGAGTCATCCCACAGATTGCATCCTTACCTTGTCAGCTTGCTGACCGGGTTAACCTCTTTGGTCATGTGGACAAGGCGTCCGACCTCGGATCAGAAGGTCCGTGGTTTGAATCCCATCACGGGACTCGGAAATTTTATGGCTGCTACATTGGCGCCCAACGTGGGGCTGAGCACGTTCATATTAAATTTGAGCAAAATAAGCCTCAGTACCCTACTATGCAGCCTGGGACGTGCCTTCTGTCGACGGGGGAGTATGTAGCAGGGCGTGGAGTCATCCCACAGATGATATCCTTACCTTGTCAGCTTGCTGAAGGGGTTAACCTCTTTGGTCATGCGGACAAGGCGTCCGACCTCGGATCAGAAGGTCTGTGGTTTGAATCCCATCACGGGACTCGGAAATTTTATGGCTGCTACATTGGCGCCCAACGTGGGGCTGAGCACGTTCATATTAAATTTGAGCAAAATAAGCCTCAGTACCCTACTATGCAGCCTGGGACGTGCCTTCTGTTGACGGGGGAGTATGTAGCAGGGCGTGGAGTCATCCCACAGATGATATCCTTACCTTGACGGGGTTAACCTCTTTGGGCATGTGGACAAGGCGTCCGACCTCGGATCAGAAGGTCTGTGGTTCGAATCCCATCCCATCGGACATTTTATGGCTGCTACATAGTCAAGTCTTTGAAAAGCATTTGTTTTTTCACTTCACATCACTTTATTCAGTTCTTGTTGGCTTTTGATTCACAAAAGCAGTTTTAACATAATTGCATATTATCAAAGTTGGAGAATTTGTGTCCTTACAGAATTGGCAAAAAAGGCATTTAGAAGTGATACACACAAGGAAGAGAATTTATGGATGTCAAATTCTTTATAATGAGGAACACAACATAAAACCCTGAGATAAAAACCAGACGGCGGTCGGGTAGCCGGGTTCGATTCCCGACGTGGGTACAATGTGTGAAGCCCATTTCTGGTGTCCCCCGCCGTGATATTGCTGGAATATTGCTAAGAGCAGCGTAAAACCATACTCACTCACTCAAAACCAGAAGTTGTACATCACTGTTCCTTGTTAAAAGGATTAGTTGCATCAGTTTAGCTCTTAAATGAGAAGATGATACTGTGAGATGCAAGGAGTCGAGGGGAGGTAATATGGGGGTTTAACGTCCAATGTTACTGCACTTATATAGCGACGTGTGTGTCTGTTTCATCCCCTTATTTACTCTGTGTGCCAGGGAGGGTGACTAGACACAGAATCTGTTAGTGTCTTTTGACATGACGCTGCCTGGGATCTACCCCGCCAACCTTCCACTCTCCAGACTAACACTCTGTCCACCAGACTGTGATATATGGACTATATTGCAAGACTCACCACTACCCCACTAGTCATATTACCGACATTGGGATATCGATACGGGTTCTTTGTACCGCCATTGCTATACAGTAACCATGTAGACTCAACACGCTCTCGTTATCTATACATAGACTCACGATATTAGAGTGAGCGAGTGAGTATGGTTTTACGCCGCTTTTAGCAATATTCCAGCAATATCACGGCGGGGGACACCAGAACACGATATTAGAAGCCTCGATAGCACAGAAATATTACAAAGACTACAGAGGCGATGTATACAAGGATAAAGAGGTGTCAAGACCGAAGGCAAGGCTACTAAAAAACATTTCTTCACTGGAATTAAACCAACATTGTATGTCCTACCTGTTGAGATATTATGTGCATGTAGTTGTGTCACTTATTTATGTCAGTTTTATCAGACTGGGAAGTAATGTCACAATATTGTGCAAATGTGCAGTTTATGCATGCATATTCATGTATTGTAACAACATATCGTTACAATATGACTTTCACATTAGTTTGGCATGAATGGGGAGGCGTACATTTCTTGGTTAACATGAATCTTAATCAAAAGAATAAAAAAAAATTCTGTCGATACTATTTCCATGAATGAAAACGATTTTCAATAAATGTCATATTGTTTAATTAATTTGGAAATTTACTAACGTTAAACATGCCATTAGGGTTATTCACGGACGTATATACAATATATATATATATATATTCTATATACGTCTTTGGGTTATTAAAACAATGATTGCGTCCACAAATGACAGTACAACATTCATGAATTATACATAACATACTTATAATTAACAACAGTAATATGCACACTCTGTGAAACTATGAAACAGCTGCAGGAAATATGTACACACAGAAGCTAGAGTTCTGTTACTCCAACACGACTTCATTCATTTCTGGGGACATCGGTTATTTGTTTCTTGACCAATAATTGGTTAATATTTTCAATGTTTTGATGAATAAAGCATTTTCGTTGGTTGACCGATAAATATGTTAAACCCATTCTCATTGGCTAGCATATTACACACCTCCAAAACCGGATCACTGTTTGTGTATGAATACAAAACTTCACTTTTGTAAATTTATACGTTGTGTATGCTGGCGATTCTGAAAATATACGTCATGTTATAGTATACGTAACTCTACTTAACTGAAGTTATCGAAAAATAAAACGGAGGCTATATTTCGTTAGGACTATATTGTTTGCGTAGTATTGCGGGCACCTGTAGACGTAAAGCGGAACTCACGCCGAGACCTTGAACGGTTATACAGTTCGTGCTGCTGTGACATTAGGTGAACGAGATATTGTCTTCGCATCATAACGGTACTCATGGCTTTTCTGTTGAAAAGGAGCAAGTTCACAGTAAACTGGTGAGTATGTCTCTGTCTGAAAATATTATAGTCATAAATTAAATGATCGTCGTTCAGTAGTCGCTTCTCCGTTCAATCATTTTCGAGTGACTTCCAGTACAACTTTCAAGGCCAAAAGGGGGCTCACAGTTCAAACTCTTATAACAGTCGTCACTTCGCTCGTGATACTGCATATGGTTTTGTATACTTTCCGTTTGCAACATACAACAAGTATTAAGGACATTTTAAAGTAGCTCAGCTTTAGGATGATCGGAATTTTATTTAATGTAGGAAATGTAACCTCCAATAACAATTGTTAAGGTAGATCTACATATGAAATTTTTCTTTTTATAGAATATGTAATATTTTAATATCCAATAATAGGGTACATGTTTCAATCAGAGGGGGTTTATTGTGATTTGATAACCTGTGATTGATTAATCAGAATCAACTTATTTCCTAATTCATGGAAGAATTGATGTGTAGTGTTTTCTTAGCTGCCATATCGCTGTGCAGCTCTCTATGATTATTAATGATTTTGACATGTCGCCACATACAGCAACAGGCTGTCCCTCAGTGTTTTCCTAATACATTCCCGATCCAATACAATCACAAGATATGCTTTAGCAAAGCGCATGCATCATGATCAATTACCTGTACCGTTTCTCCCAATACAGATCGTCATATCTCTCACGCTTTTGGATACGATCATTTTTCAATCATGTTTATCTGTGTCGCCCTGCTCCATCTATGGGGAACAATTCACTAGACACTCCCCTCTCAAAAATAACTTTGTCCAGTATACGTCATCATCGAGTTGTGAAGACCTGCTCAAATCTCCAGAAATGTTGTCTCGATAGAACAATGTCTTATCATGAAATAAACCGAACTACATTTTTCAATAATTTTTTAATTTGAAGTTTACACGATATACGGCTTTTCCATTGTACGAGAGGTCGGTCACATGTCCGTGAAATTGACGTTCATACGTTTTTCACGAGACCGTGTTCTTGAAATGACGTAAACACTGACGGACTACTTCCACATTCCTGGGAATTCCCTAGCACGAAAACATACATAAGCTTTCTTTCTGATCATGTAGAACCTTTATTCTTGGTCTCAGCGTTTCAGTATACATTGAGAAATGTCAGAGAGCGTGACTGCATGATTGTCCTCGCTACGGCCTATCCTAATGAACAAACGAAGAAATGCACATCTAAAATATCGTAGTATCGACTCGATCCGTGTATAGGCTGACAGTGACCGTCTCCAGCAATCTATGAGATTACCTTAGTGTCTGTTTGACGCATCTTTATTCACCTTTCAATGATCGGCTAGTTGATCAATGATGACTAACACATGTAACCGCCACACGTTCATTAACAACTTCGGAAATCTCTCCTGTCATGTTTATCGTGGCAGCCATTTTGACGTCTTGTACTTGATGTAAATGCATTACGACGCGCTGTCATTGTCACTGACTTACTGAGGCAGTTCTTTACAGACCTTTCTCATCTAATGGTGATATGATTTGAACACATGTGCTGCGTAAAATGTTTCCGAAGAGCAAGTTGTACATCCACACGCTCATGTCACCTCTCTTTTTGAGGAACTGTTTTATTCCGTGATATAGCTGGTTGTTGTATGTCTGTCAGTGTAAACATAAAGTCACACGTACTAAATAAAATTGTGTTTAGATCTTGGCTCACATCCTTTGAGGTATGAAATTGTGATAAAATTTTTTATAAGAATTGACTTTCACTTTGTGTGAGTTCATTGGAGTATGAACCTTCATAGAGTGAGGGCCAAACATTGTATGAACATCGTCGCAAGCTCCGACGTTCATACAGTTTGGCCTTCACTTTTTTTTATCGATCACAGTCCAGTGTTCCCTTTTAAATTAGGCTTTGACTGGTAATTCATGTGACTGCCAGTCCCTGTGGACCGGCAAATAAAGGACCTTATTAATCTTTGTTGTTGAACAAAACATCTGTGATACTTAAGTCAGCTTGTCTGTTACCATCAGGGTTTCCCCGTGTCTATTTCTAGGTTAAATATCCATTTGTAGTGACTTGTCTCAAATACATGTATATAAAAAAAAGAGGAGAAAATTGTGACTGAAGTTTGTGTGAATGGAATGGAATTTGTATAGATCTAACTAAGTTACTTCAGAGATGACATCTTTGCACTGAACATGATGTTGAAAGAATTAACACCAAATAATTTTCAAACAAGTTTTTTATTTGTTGAAAGTTGGGACGGGAAGAAAATTAGGGGGTACTGGTAATTTTTAGAGATGCCAGTCCACAAGGACTGGCAGTTTCAATAGCCAGTGGGAACACTGATGACTCATATATCTTACCAAGTTATTGAGATGATGTCATTGCATTTGTCAGCTGTAAAAGTACACGGCATTGAACATGATGTTGAAAGAATTAAAATCAGGTAAATTTTATGTTTTTGTTGAAATGTGGGACTGACAAATATTAGGTGGGGGGACTGGTATTTTTTAGTGTTGCCAGCACGAACACTGCAGTCACACACTAAGTAAAATATATCGATTCTCACCTCAAATTTTTGCTTTATCTGTTCCATTAAACACTAATCAGTAGTGCAAGTTAATAGTGAAAACATAAATATTTTCGTTTGTTGTGCCATACTTGACACTGCCAACTGTAAATCGTCAGTGTGCCAGGTATTTGGCCATCCTGTCTATGAAAAAGATGGCTTATGCACTACAGTTAAGAGCACATGCAAGTATCGTGATATGAAGTGCATCGTGAGTAGCGATCGTGATACATATCGGATCGTGAATAAGGGAGTAATGCGGGGGAGTATTGATAGGAATATGCTGGGAGTAATGATAGAAATATGCTGGGAGTAATGATAGAAATATGCTGGGAGTATTGATAGGAATATGCTGGGAGTAATGATAGGGATATGCTGGGAGTAATGATAGAAATATGCTGGGAGTAATGATAGAAATATGCTGAGAGTAATGATAGAAATATGCTGGGAGTAATGATAGAAATATGCTGAGAGTAATGATAGAAATATGCTGGGAGTAATGATAAAAATATGCTGGGAGTAATGATAGGAATATGCTGAGAGTAATGATAAAATTGTGATTGGTGCAATCTACAGAACAGTTCACATGATTTGGCATATATATTATACATATTGAATTATATTTTTGGATGTAATTAATGAAATGAATCATAAACAAATCTCCGGAAATACACTGATACTTTCCAATACAGCATAGTGTAATAACATAACTAGCTGTGGTCGTACCATTCAAACTGCCACACTTCACTTCCTGTCTGTTAAAACAAACATATACAGTGGTCCCTCGCTACAATGCTACCAATGGGGTCCAAATAATTGGTAGGCGTTATAGACGATGAGCCGTTTAACCGAGGCCGAGGCGGGGGAGCGCGCTCGGCAAATCTCACGATCTTCTCCTTGTCTCGCACATTGCAATGATACAAGTTTTTTTACCGTTCATAGTGTAAAAATATATATCCATTATGTTTTCGCTGTTTGTTATTATTTACAAGCCTTAACTGTCACATTCAATGTGAATGTAGTCTACTTACATGAAAATATCGATCAATAATGGTAGTAACCTGGTAACAGACGCTATGAGTGAAGAGCCAATCACAATTCATTACACAAGTACAGAGTGATTCAGTGGCATTGATTGGTCATGTTGCTTAAAATACGGAAAACGAGTTTTGACCAGCACTACGCGCATTCATACACATTCATGCAAATATAGATACACATTCAAGCCAGATTAATTGGTTTGATACGGTTACTTGATCATTGTTGATCCGAATCAAAAGGAATGACCGCCGTGTTGTGACAGCAACTACATGTGAGTTGACAGTGTCACCTCAAATTGGATTGCCCACTAATTAAGAAAATAAACTTCGCTTGTGGTTCTCTTTTATTGCATGCATGCGCTTCTAAGATCAAAGGATGTATAGTGTGAAAAGTTAACTAGTAGAACAATTGTATTTCCGGGACTTGCCGCGGATGTTTTCAAACAGATTATTAGAACTCCATTCAGCGATAAATGGTTGATTATGCAATGAGAAGCGTTATGTGCAAATGAACAACGAACAACAATACAATTATGTCTGTGTAAAACTCTCAGTATTAAAAGTGTACATAAATTTTGGGAGCCATGCGATACCGCGCGTAGTAACCGAGGTAGCGCTTAAGCGAAGAGCCCAATAGCGAGGGACCACTGTACAACCCATCTTCACCAGTTGTACCAAGTTTGGTTCCAGCACTGTCCAATTCTGTACAAATTTGACTAAATCTGGCTTGACCCTCAAAACAATTGATATTAAATTTTGTTGATGGTTAGGTTGACAATAGTTAGGGGCGGGCTGGTAAATTTTAAAATTGCCAGTAAACCAGGACTGGCAGTTCCAAAAGCCAGCAGGAACACTGTATCAGATACACAAATTCATTTCATTTGAACCTAACGAATGTGTTCAAAATCTTGTGGATTGTGTAGCCCTAGTGGTTAGAGTGGTCCAATTGTCATGCCTAGGGCCCGGTACGGGGACAATGTGAAACTAATGTCTTGTCCCCTACTTAAATCCCAGGAATATGGCAAAAAGTGGAGTAAAGCCTTAGTCACTCACTCACTCTCTCTCTCTCCCACTCACTCACTCACTCAAAAAACTTGTAAAAGCATTAGTGGCCTTAGTCACTCACTCACTCACTCACTCTCACTCACTCACTCACTCACTCACTCACTCACTCACTCACTCACTCACTCACTCACTCAAAAAACTTGTAAAAGCATTAGTGGCCTTAGTCACTCACTCACTCTCTCTCTCTCCCACTCACTCACTCAAAAAACTTGTAAGAGCATTAGTGGCCTTAGTCACTCAGTCACTCACTCTCACTCACTCACTCACTCACCCACTCACTCACTCACTCACTCACTCACTCACTCACTCACTCACTCACTCACTCACTCACTCACACTCACTCACTCAAAAAACTTGTAAAATCATTAGTGGCCTTAGTCACTCCCTCACTCACTCACTCACTCACTCACTCACTCACTCACTCACTCACTCACTCACTCACTCTCTCTCACACTCACTCACTCAAAAAACTTGTAAAAGCATTAGTGGCCTTAGTCACTCACTCACTCTCTCTCTCTCACACTCACTCACTCACTCACTCACTCACTCAAAAAACTTGTAAAAGCATTAGTGGCCTTAGTCACTCACTCACTCTCTCTCTCTCACACTCACTCACTCACTCACTCACTCACTCACTCAAAAAACTTGTAAAAGCATTAGTGGCCTTAGTCACAATGTTAGAAGATCTGGGCCCCGTTCCACAAACCAATCATAGTGCTACGACTGTATGGGAGTTACCATCATCTGATCATTTGCAACCACTGTTCCACTGTATACAACCGTGTGTTCCAGTGCGTACCAGAGCTTTCGATGTCTCAGCACACCGGCGTTTCAGACCTTCGTTGCTGAAAATGAACCCATGTACGATTATGCCCCTGGCAGTCCCGAGAAACAGCAGCTGGACGAGGCAGTGAAGCGTCACAGCGGACAAGTAGCTGATGTCCCCATCGTCATCGGCGACGAAGAGATCCGAACGGGCACTGCTAGGTACCAGGTTGAGGTAATGGAACAGGGAAGTCAGTTTGTAGTTAGATTTATGAATACCGTATTCAACGTAATAAGCGCCCAGGGCGCTCTCAAAATTAGAAACAGGGGGCGCTTATAAGAATATTATTTTGAGTTGAAAGATCACAAATTTTGTGGTTTATGCTAACAGCCTGAAATGTTTACATACGACAGATATATTTTTCAAGAATTTAATTGCCCATAATTAAGGGTGATATAACACACGAGTGCGTATTATACATGAATAAATAAATCTTGTTTACATTGATCAACCAGAAGGGGTGCCGACTGGGATTGTCCACTAGCTAATATATTAGCAAATATCGCCGTGGGCGCTTATTAGAGCAGGACGCTTAATACGTCAAATACGGTATTCATTATGGATTATGCTTTTATATAACAGGAGTATTTTTTTAAATTTGTCCATGACCATCCTTGACAATTTCCTTTGTATTACATGCTTAAGAATGGTTGAAGTCCCCAGGAAGATCTGGGAACTGAGTCCCCAGCAACTGTTGCTTGTAAGAGGCGACTAACAGGATCAGGTGGTCAGGCTCGTAGACTTGGTTGATGCATGTCATCGCATCCCAATTTCGTAGATTGATGCTTATGAAGTCAATCACTGGATCGTCTGATCTAAAATTTATTATTAACATACTGATGGAATATTGCTGAGTGTGATGATAAAAAAACGAACAAAGAAACAAAAACTGTAACAAGCTCACTTGGTTATCTATTTGTTTGTTTGTTTGTTGTTTATCATCGCACTCAGCAATATTCCAGCAATATGACGGCGGTCTGTAAATAATAAAATCTAGATCAGACATTCCATGATTCCTGTGATTGACATGAGCCTCGATCCATGCAATTGGGATATAGTGACATGCATCAACCAAGACAACGCGCCTGACCACCCGATCCAGTTAGTCGCCTTTTACGGCAAGCATGGGTTGCTGAAGACCTATTCTACCCCAGATCTTCACGGGTCAGTTCGTTATCTGATCTTCGTAGTTGACATAAACATATTAGAATTCAGTGAGTTGATACCCTTATGAGGACGAGGTAAGGATGAAAAATGTTTCATTTTCTGGTCTAATGTCCTCTGTCATGTCTATGGGGTATTTCTGTGACTTGATTGTATGTGACGATGAGGATTGGGTGACTAGTGTGGCATTCATGTTCCATGGCGGTGTGTGACAATACTCAGCTATCAACCACTGTTATGTCTGGCCCGGGCTGCAGGCATGTAGACTGAAAGATTTTGACTTTGACTTAAAACAACATTCACTCACTAATGTACATGTTTTCTGTCCCTATGTTCCCAGTGATATCAATAATGTTACCACAACCCATGTTTGTCGTAAGAGGCGACTATGTTTGTCGTGAGAGGTGACTATGCTTGTCGTAAGAGGCGACTATGCTTGTCGTAAGAGGCGACTATGCTTGTCGTAAGAGGCGACTATGCTTGTCATAAGAGGCGACTATGCTTGTCTTAAGAGGCGACTATGCTTGCCGTAAGAGGCGACTATGCTTGTCGGAAGAGGCGACTATGCTTGTCGTGAGAGGCGACTATACTTGTCGTAAGAGGCGACTATGCTTGTCGTAAGTGGCGACTATGCTTGTCGTAAGAGGTGACTATGCTTGTCGTAAGAGGCAACTATGCTTGTCGTAAGAGGCGACTAACGGGATCAGGTGGCCAGGCTTGCTGACTTGGTTGAAACTATGTATCTAAACCTTTGATTTTGTTACCAGCTGCATTTTCACAGTTTTAATATTTTCCATATTTGGTAACCATAGTAACAAGGTCCTCTATTTTGTTGATGCTCAATGTGTTAACCAGTGCTAATATGATCTTGTGTTTTCAGCCCTTCGATCACCAAAAGAAGATAGCCAAGTACTATTATGCATCTCCAGTAAGTTATGCGTAGACATGTGTTATATGTATGCCTCTTCACGAGCCTATTTAAATGTTGAGCATGCCTCCCAATCTGTGACAAAGTTAAGTTATGCAACTGGGAGACTGTAAACAGACACACCATTTGCTGAGCACGCTCAATGCTGTCTTGAGAAAAATTCCTTGGCCATGCTTTTCTCTCAGAATATTTTACCTGCACATAAAGCAGAGAACATTATTATTATTATTATTATTATTATTATTATTATTATTATCATCATCATCATCATCATCATCATCATCATCATCATTATTATTATTATTATTATTATTATTATTATTATTACCATCATCATCATAATTATTATTAACCAAGTGTATTAATATTGAGTTCCCCTGCTAAAATAATGCATTATACTGGAGATAATAATCGACATGCAAGTAAAAACATTTTAAACATTGTTCATTTTTCTGTACCTAATTAGGAGCAAGTAAAGAAGGCCATTGATGTAAGCCTCGCAGCTCGGGAGGCATGGGAGAGGACGCCTTTAGAGAAGAGGTCGGAGGTGTTTCTACGCGCTGCTGACCTCATGAGCACCAAGTACAGATATGACCTTCTTGCAACCACGATGTTGGGCCAGGTGAGGGATGAGGACGAAGACAGTTACCCTGTTCATCTGGACATGACTGTTACCACTGAAATTGCCTGATTAACAGATGTCTGGATAAATGGAGCATGGCGATTGTAAATCATCCCTTTGTCATTATAAGTACCTCGGCAGTATGCGGTTTTGGAACCGTGAAGATCCGAAGTAGAATAGGTCTTCAGCAACCCATGCTTGCCGAAAAAAGGCAACTATGCTTCTCATGAGAGGCAACTAACGGGATCGGGTGGTCAGGCTTGCTGACTTGGTTGATGCATGTCATCGTATCCCAATGGCCTGGATCGATGATCATGATGTCAGTCACTGGATTGTCTAGTCCAGACTCGATTATTTACAGACCGCCGTCATATAGCTGGAATATTGCTGAGTGTGGCGTTAAACAACAAACAAACAAAGAAACAATATGCAGGCCCTGTAAAGTAATGAAATGGTGTAGTGTACTGTACATTCTGATAATTACTTTAGAGCATGACTGATGGATAGAATAACAGACACCAACAACTGGTCTTGATGCGTTGTAGGTACAATGAACATTAATGTGCGTCCCTTGGGACACAGTATATGTTATTTCTGCCCACATTCTCTGCAACTGTGTGTACTGGATGCACATTTGTGTCGTACGTAATACGTTTTATTAGAGCAGCGTGAAAATCAGTGTTTAAAATTTTGGGCTTCTTGTCATAACACAATATATCAGAACTGAAGAGGGGGCGGTCGGGTAGCCGAGTAAATGTTAAAGCGTTCGCTCGTCACGCGAAAGACCTGGGTTCGATTCTTGACATGCATACAATGTGTGAAGCCCATTTCTGGTGTCCCCCGCCGTGATATTGTTGGAATATTGCTAAAAGTGGCGTAAAACAATACTCACTCATAACTGAAGATATAGGGGGTCCCTAGGTTCAAATACTTTACCAGTATATTTTATGGCCCCTCTGTCCCCTTTAAAGACAGTATTAGTGCTAAGGCGATGAAAACTCCCATACTTGACTAAGGCTTGCTACAATCTTAGCACTAAGACGATGATAACTCCCATACTTGACACATGCTTGCTACAATCTTAGCACTAAGACGATGATAACTCCCATACTTGACACATGCTTGCTACAATCTTAGCACTAAGACGATGATAACTCCCATACTTGACACAGGCTTGCTAAAATCCTAGCACTAAGACGATGATACCTCCCATACTTGACACAGGCTTGCTACAATCATAGCACTAAGACGATGATAACTCCCGTATTTTACACAGGCTTGCTACAATCTTAGCACTAAGACGATGATACCTCCCATACTTGACACAGGCTTGCTACAATCTTAGCACTAAGACGATGATAACTCCCATACTTGACATAGGCTTGCTACAATCTTAGCACTAAGACGATGATAACTCCCATACTTGACACAGGCTTGCTACAATCTTAGCACTAAGACGATGATAACTCCCATACTTGACACAGGCTTGCTACAATCTTAGCACTAAGACGATGATAACTCCCATACTTGACACAGGCTTGCTACCATCTTAGCACTAAGGCGATGAAAACTCCTATACTTGACACAGGCTTGCTACAATCTTAGCACTAAGACGATGATAACTCCCATACTTTGACTGAAATTGTCAACTGGTGCAATGAATGATAGACAGTATTGTTTTTTTAATTAATCTGTCATTCCTATTGTAGCTCCACTCTGTCCACTGTGACTTCAGTCTTCAGTATGTGGTGTTGCACGGTGGTTGTAAAGGGTTAAAGGAGGTATTAATCAACAAAGAACATTCGTCAGAATTCAATGAGTTAACCCTTGCCTCAGTAAGTTGTCAAAGATATTGTTACTAAGTCCGGATGATTCATTACAGGCCAAGAATGTCTGGCAAGCGGAAATAGATTCAGCTGCAGAACTGATTGATTTTCTGCGATTCAACATCATGTATGCCAGGGTGAGTCACTTCTAGCAGGGTTTACAATGTGGGGAGTTTGACCTTAGATCCTAAAGACTGGGGGCACGGGTGGCCCAGTGGTCTACGATGCTGCAATTCACTGTGCAGCGTAACGTCCCTTGGCCGTGCCAGGATCCTATGATCGAGGGTTTGAATCTTGGTTCGTCCCAGTTATGTTTCTAGGTTTGTCAGTACCATACCCGTGCTTGTGGATTTCTCCAAAGTGGTAAATTTTTGGGACCTGCATTTCCTTGGGCTCTCTGCCACATTAAGCTGGCATGAAACCCAGCTCACTCACTCACTCCTAAATACTGTTAAATGGTCATTGATTGCAATGTGTCAACTGGCTGATTTTATGAAAGTTTGGATCAAGCACTGGGTTGCCATGGCCAGTCTCAGTTATGTATGAGTTCCATGATGTAGGTAGAACATTGCTGGCCCCACTCACCCGACTCGACTCGACTCGACTTGACTGTCTGGTCCAGGCTTGATTATTTACAGACTGCCATCATATAGCTGGAATATTGCTGAGTGCGGCGTTAAACAAAAAAAAAACGTCACTCACTCACTCACTCACTCACTCACTCGACCACCCACCCACCCACTCACTCACTCACTCAAACACTCACTCACTCAACCATTCAACCAATCACTCACTCAACCACTCGACCGCCTCCGTGGTCTACTGGTTGAGCGTCCGCCAGGAGAGCGGAATGTCCGGGGTTCGATCCCCGACCGCGTCATACCAAAAGACATTAAAAGATGGTACTTGTTGTTACCCTGTCTGGCGGTCGGCATTAAGTGGCTAAAACAAGGACTGGTCGGCTTAGAGTCAGTATACTGTGTCTGAGTGAGGTATTCATGTTAAACTGCGGCATGGTATCTGAGTGAGCTAGCACTATAAATCGGCATCAGTCCGGCCGAGTACAAGCAGCCACACAAACACACACACGTACATGCCCGTCACTATATAAGTGCAATAATCTTGGACGCGACGTTAAACTCCATTTCACCTCACCTCATCTCACCTCACCTCACCTCACCTCACCTCACCTCACCTCACCTCACCTCACCTCACGCACTCACTCACTCAGACACTCACTCACTCAGACACTCACACTCACTCACTCACTCAGACACTCAGACACTCACTCAGACACTCACTCACTCACTCAGACACTCACTCAGACACTGACTCACTGACTCACTCAGACACTCACTCACTCAGACACTCACTCACTCAGACACTCACTCACTCAGACACTCACTCACTCAGACACTCACTCACTCACTCACTCAGAAACTCACTCAGACACTCACTCACTCAGACACTCACTCAGACACTGACTCACTCACTCACTCAGACACTCAGACATTCTCACTCAGACACTCTCACTCACTCACTCAGACACTCACTCACTCACTCAGACATTCTCACTCAGACACTCTCACTCAGACACTCACTCACTCAGACACTCACTCACTCACTCAGACGCTCACTCACTCACTCACTCACTCAGACATTCTCACTCAGACACTCTCACTCAGACACTCACTCACTCAGACACTCACTCAGACATTCTCACTCAGACACACTCACTCAGACACTCACTCACTCAGACACTCACTCAGACACTCTCACTCACTCACTCAGATGCTCACTCACTCACTCACTCAGACACTCACTCACTCAGACACTCAGTCACTCACTCACTCAGACATTCTCACTCAGAAACTCTCACTCAGACACTCATTCACTCACTCAGACACTCACTCACTCTCTCACTCACTCACTCACTCACTCACTCTTTCTTCTACAGGATGTGACAAAGTTCCAGCCAGTGAGTCCCTCCTCCAGCATCAACAACCGGTCAGTTTACAGAGGAAACGAGGTCAGTTGGCTGTAGGATATTCAGATGGGAGATTCAGATTACAATAATTACCCAAGAACTTCAAAGTTTCAATTTGTTGCCAAGTTCAATTTAATTTGTTTCAATCTACATGTCACCAAGTTCTATTCTGAAAACACAGTATGTTATCTCCCAATTGTTTCTCTTTGTATTCTTTTCTAGTTGCCTTATTTTCTCAATTGGAATGAAATATGGAATTGTGTTTACATTGTGTGAGAATTTGATTCAGGGTTTTTGGGCTGCTGTGACGCCATTCAACTTTACAGCTATTGGTGGTCATCTTCCGGCCGCTCCAGCTCTTATGGTGAGTAAAGGGGTAACCATGGTGATGGTGAATCAATGAACTATTTGATAGGCATTACTTTGAAGTTGACGGATGCAAAGTAGATACAATTTATGGATAACAACTTCTTTATTTACTGTTAAGGCGAAGTTTTGGTATAGATCCTAATACCGTTGTCAAGCAAGACTGAATGAACTGAACGCAACCAGTCCAACACCACGCTGCAACCCAACACAACAACACGCTGCAACCCAACCACGCTGCAACCCAACACAACACCACGCTGCAACCCAACACAACACCACGCTGCAACCCAACACAACACCACGCTGCAACCCAACACAACACAACCCAACACAACACCACGCTGCAACCCAACACAACACCACGCTGCAACCCAACACAACACCACGCTGCAACCCAACTCCACGCTGCAACCCAACACAACACCACGCTGCAACCCAACACAACACCACGCTGCAACCCAACACAACACCACGCTGCAACCCAACACAACACCACGCTGCAACCCAACACAACACCATGCTGCAACCCAACACAACACCACACTGCAACCCAACACAACACCACGCTGCAACCCAACACAACACCATGCTGCAACCCAACACAACACCACGCTGCAACCCAACCACGCTGCAACCCAACACAACACCACGCTGAACCCAACACCTTCTCTTCAGATCCAGGTCAACAACAAACTGCACTCAAAGACCAAGGGGGCGGTCGGGTAGCCTAGTGGTTAAAGTGTTTGCTCGTCACGCCGAAGAACCGGGTTTGATTCCTGACATGGGTACAATGTGTGAAGCCCATTTCTGGTGATGCCGTGATGCCGTGATATTGCTGGAATATTGCTAAAAGCGGCGTAAAACCATACTCGCTCACTCACTCAAAGACCAACGTCAACCACATTAAGAAGTTCCACCTCCTCGCCAACAAGCCCCAAACCGGCACAAGTTGCCCTAACGACAAACAGCACCACCAAATGACTGTTGTCAACCTCAGCAACACCCTTGCTTGACAACAGTACAAAGATCTATACTGAAACATTGTCTTTACAGTGAATACAGTTGTTGTCCATAAATTGTGTCGACTTTTGTAAATGTATGCTTCACCAAATGTGTGAAGTGAAAGTTATGTCATTAGAGCTCTCCAGTGTTAAGCATCCTTGCATCATTTTTAGAGGGACAGCCTCCGTGGTCCAGTGGTGGAGTATCTACCCGGAGAGCGGAAGGTCTGGGGTTTGATCCCAGGCTGTGGCATACCAAAAGACGTTAAAAGATGGTACTTGTTGTTACCCTGTCTGGCGCTTGGCATTAAGGGGTTAAAACAAGGACTGGTTGGCTCGGAGTCAGTATACTGTGTCTGAGTGGGGAATTCATGTTAAACTGCGGCATGGTATCTCAGTGGGCTAGCACTTTAAATCGGCATCAGTCCGGACTAGTACAAGCAGCCACCCATACACGTGCATGCAAGTCGCTATATAAGTGCAATAATCTTGGAAGCGACGTTAAACCGTATTTCATCTCATTTTTAGGAAATGAATTGTAAATGTTTTTTCGTTTCCCAGGGTAATGTGTCGCTATGGAAACCGTCCGACACGGCTATCCTGTCCAACTATACGGTGTACAAGATCTACAGAGAGGCGGGGCTCCCGGCCGGTGTCATCAACTTCCTCCCTGCTGAAGGGCCTGTATTTGGCGACACTGTCACCAGCTCGCCACACCTGGCTGGCATCAACTTTACTGGCAGTGTCAGGTACGTCACCATTGTTACAAGCACAAGAATTACTCAAGCTGGACAGGTTTTAAATGTCACCAGACTGGAGTGATTTGGAGTTAACATGGCAGACATGGCACTTAATGGGAGGGGGAGGTCGGGTAGCCTAGTGGTTAAATCGTTAACTCTTCACGCCAAAGACCTGGGTTCGATTCCAGACATGGGTGCAATGTGTGAAACCCATTTGTGGTGTCCCCCCGCCGTGATATTGCTGGAATATTGCTAAAAGCGACGTAAAACCATACTCACTGACTCACTCACTGAGGTATGAGGCTGACAGAGCAACAAATTACTATAGTTATCAGGTAAAATCTGATTTCAAACCCCTGATTAGCAGATCCTAGCACTAATGGACATAACTCATGCAATTTCATGCAATATTGTGAAAGTGATGATGTGTTATTTTGAATCTCATTAAAATCAGATCTTGGTTCTGACTACCGCTAAACAAAGATCTGGGGACATCCTTACTAGGGGTCACATCCAAACGACCTTTCATTCGACCAATCAGAGTGTCGCTTACCAGATCATGAAAGTGACAGTCAGAATGTGATTTCTTATAATGCAACCTCAAAAACTTTTAACACGGGCTATTCCGAACGATAGTTACGGGCTTAACGACTGTATCCATACAAGCTAGATAATCTATTAGCCATTTCAGAATGTTCTTTTGTTCAGGTTTCAAATTTTTAATCAAGAATTTGTCAAAGTATCTTTCAGAGTGTAGTCGCCAATTTGAAATTAGTGCCATAAAGCATGAGAAAGCTGCCTTCTGATTGGCTAATGTCGACTTCTTGTCAGTCATTCCATTGGTCGGTCAAAGTTCGCACAAGGTCGGTCTGACATGACCCATAATGGGTTCTCAGATCTTTGTTTAGCAGTAGCATTGATCTGATTTTAATGAGATCGGTGTTATTTTGTATGCAGGACTTTCAAGCACTTATGGAAACAGGTGGCACAAAATATGGATGTCTACAGAACATACCCCCGGCTCATTGGAGGTAAAACACTTTTAGACACATGGTGAATAACGTGAATTAAGTCCCATAAATGTTTGTATGAAATAAATACTGTAAATCGTGAAGTTAATGCGAGGGTGAATTAGATGCGAAAATGCGAGTGGTCTTTGCTCACATGGTTCAAAAATCGCATTTATATCTCATGACTGTCTGTTGAGCATCACTTGTAACAAGTATAGAACAAATGTCATTCGAACACTAGAAATTACATAATGAACATAATGAACATCCTGTGAATTGTCAAGTGTCAAAGTATGCATCGCTGATTACTCCATGGAGTTTGAGTCCAGACAGACGCCACCCATGCAACACTGCGTCTTTGTTCTTTGCGACTGCGTTAAAGGCCGACACGACCCAGCACACTTATCCTCAGATCTACAGTCTTTGTCTTGTCACCTGCCTTAATGCCAGTCAACAGAATAAACACATGAATCATCTGTTGTCTTTAGGAAAACACTATGTATTGTTCTTGCCGAACGACTCAACTCGGCGCTAATAAGCGGTGCCATTTGATTGGGGTAGTCGCACTCATAGAGTCTCGGTTTTGTCTAGGGGCCAGCAGTTCATTTATTTGGAGATTTACGGTAAACCCATGCAGAGGGTATTGTACACACATCCCTTCTCTTTTCAGAATGCGGCGGTAAGAACATGCACTTCATCCATAGCTCTGCCAATTTGGAATCGGTCATCAACGGTACCGTCCGAGCCGCCTTCGAGTTCAATGGTCAGAAGTGCTCTGCGTGCTCCCGGATGTACATTGCCGAGTCCATGTGGCCCAAGGTCAAGGACGGCATGCTACAGATCCACAAGGAAATAAAGATGGGCTCGCCATTAGAGAAGGAGTCTTTTGTTACGGCAGTGATTGATGATAAGGTAGGCAACAGTTGTAATGCCGAGCATAGGCGGATCCAGAGGGGGTCCGGATTTTGCTATTTTGGACCCCTCCCTCTTTATAACACTATGGTGATCCCTCGCTACAACGCTACCTTTAGGGTCGAAATAATCGATGAGCGTTATAGACGATCAGCGGTTTAACCGAGGTGGAGTCGTAGGGGGTAGATGACCAACAAAACAGTATACATGCACTGCCTACCTAACACGATCTAAGTTGCACGTTTCTGTGTTTAAGAAAAGAGTACAATAGTGGTAGTTTATGATTCATAGTGTAAAAAAAGATTTATCAAGTGTTATGCGCTTAAAAAACCCAACATCGTATCCCTTCTGGTGAAGGAAAAGGTATAACAGGCTTGTAGTGATTGGTGCATTTTTCTAAAAGATTATGAAATAACGGGTTATAAAGAATGTTACACTCACGTGTGTCATACTGTTTTGACGAAACATGTGTAAGAATTCATGCATTACCCTCACTCTCACGCTGGAAATACAAGAATTCAGACACTCATTTCGTAAAATTAATATGCCACATATGCTCGTACATATAATCTCTGTGTAAGCACAACATGCCTACATCACCTGTGAATACATACGTGATGTAGTCCCTAGGTTTAACCAGCAAGTCAAATGCCAGGTTGCAGAGAGGGGTTAGGTGAATTGGGTTATTGGCGAGTTCAAGATTATGGGACCGCCTCCGTGGTCTTGTGGTAGAGCGTCCGCCCGGAGAGCGGAAGGTCCGGGGTTCGATCCCCGACCGCGTCATACCAAAAGACGTTAAAAGATGGCACTTGTTGTTACCCTGTCTGGCGCATTAAGGGGCTAAAAGAAGGACTGGTAGGCTCGGAGTCAGTATACTGTGTCTGAGTGGGGTATTCATGTTAAACTGCAACATGGTATCTCAGTGAGCTAGCACTATAAATCGGCATCAGTCCGGACTAGTACAAGCAGCCACACAAACACACACACGTACATGCACGTCGCTATATAAGTGCAATAATCTTGGACGCGACGTTAAACCCTATTTCACCTCTCCTCACCTCACCTCACCTCACCTCACCTCACCTCACCTCAAGATTATGGCGACCTGTGAAGATACGTAGAATAGGTCTTCAGCAACCATGCTTGCCGTAAAAGGAGACCATGCCTGTCGTAAGAGATGACTATCGGGATAGGGTGGTCAGGCTCGCTGACTTGGTTGATGCCTGTCATAGTATCCCAATTGTGTGAATCATTGCTCATGATGTCAATCGCTAGATTATATACTTTATTATTTACAGATCTCCGTCATATACCTTATTCGACGTAATAAGCTCCCACGGCGAAAATTGCTAATATATTGGCTATTGAACGATCCCAATTAGCACCCCTTCCGATTTATCAATGTATAAAAGATTTATTTATTCACACTCGTGTGTTATATGCACCCTTAATTATTGGCAATTAAATTCTGGGCAAATATATCTGTCGTATATATATAACATTTCAGGCTGTCAGCATAAACCATGAAATTTATCTTTCAACTCTGTTTTTCCACCCAAATAATATTCTAATAAGAGCCCCCTATTTCTAAATTTGAGAGCGCTCTTGGCGCTTATTACGTCACATACGGTAGGTGGAATATTGCTGAGTGCGGTGTTAAACAGCAAACAAACAAGATTATGGTACTTATATAGCGACATGATATTGTCTGAGATACTATATGCCACTGTTTAATATGAATACCCCCCTCAGAAAAGGTATACTGACTCCGAACCAGCCAATCCTTGTTTTATCTCCTTAAAAGCCAAGCACCAGGCAGGGTAGCAAGAAATACCGTCTTTTAACATCTTTTAGGATGCAGCCAGGGCTTGAAGCAAAGACTCTTCACTAGACCACAGGATGAGTCTGCTGTGAGAGAGAGACCAATAACCCGAAGTAAGGGAGTTAACTGACTATAAAAGTCAAGTTTCCACCTTTGCTGAACTAGGCTGGAATAAAGTAGTTATACTTTAGCTAGATTAAGGAGTCTATGCGTAGTCAAATATATATTACATAATGAAATCGACATTGGTGCAGGTTCTGATAATAATTTAGGAAAGAACTATTATTACTAGTTGTCATTTCAAAATCATATAAACCTGGGTTGGTTTTTCTGCGGGAAAATAATTCAGAGAAATGATTGATACAGCGAGGGGACTGCTGAATATTTGTCCTGTTACGACGATGCAGTTTCTCTGTTGCAGGCGTTTGCTAGGATTAAGGGTTATTTGGATCACGCGAAGTCTTCTCCGAACCTGAAGGTGATTGCCGGGGGTAACTATGACGACAGGTAAGGCAAAATAACCTGACTTTCGTCTCTTTTGTAACATCTGAAGCTTGTCCTCAGGAAAATTTGTATCAAGAACAACACAATGGACTCATATAGGTGAAGGTCGCCTGGAATGCAAGTGGTTCTGGAAGAAAAATGGGAGAGGGGAACCATTGATTTCCGGAAATGCCCACATTGACTTGTTAACCCTCTTGGTGCCGCGGGACCATAATGTCCCTTTCCAACTGTGAATTATGATGTCAAACACAAGATTAACATTATGGCCATTAGGGGTGACTATTGGTCTGGAAATCACTATTGCGATAACTATTAATATTGAAAGAAACTATTGCGATAACTATTGATATTGCAAGCAACAAATAAATATCGATGGTTTTCAGTGTATCATTGTAGATGGATTTTAGAGTTGAACTAAACCTTGGAACTGAAGTTTCCTTTGAATGTGATAACCACAACAACAAATATAAAGTACAGAGTGAGATATGACTGATTTGTTTTTTCTTTACCCTAATATTTTAAGAAAAAGAAACTTCCATATTATCAAGTGTAAATTACTAACACTCATGATCAAAAGAAACACAAATTTGAACAGCATTTGACTCAATCGCATGATATGGTAAATACAATCGAAACTATTGATATTCCTAACTAAAATCGATACTATTGATCGGAAACTGATTTAACAATCGATTTTTTGACTTTAAGTGCTTACCAACAGCAATCCATTGATATTTCGATTTATCGTGACACCCCTAATGGCCATCACAACCTCAGAATATTATTTCGTAAAATTTGATAATTGAGAAGAAATGAGAACATTGTGACACTTTTGAAACAAGGTATACGGTTTTGTAACCATGACGTCAGCATGGCGCGGCACGGCACTGAGCGGTGTACAGACCGATTGATGATCTGGCACCATGAGGGTTAAACAGCCATGCATGACAGTATCTTACTTGTGCTTTATGACGTGTCAGATTCTGGCGGATGGGTAGCTTGTTTATACACTAATAAAATATATCTACGCGTTGTAGCACTGACAGCGAGCGGTTCCTTTGATCTAAGCCGTGTTGTGTACTAGATAAAGCCCGGCTGTGCCACGTTCAGCGAGGCCGGCTCACAATTGGCTAACGTTACAGCAGCAAGCCCAGCCTAGTCAAGTGTATACAAATATACAACATTGTATTGCAAAAGTTGCAACAATGTTATGGAACTTAAGTAACAGGTTGAACATTGTAAAAAATAGGAATTGAGAAATCAAGACAGTGTTTATTATTGTCAAGTAAATGAACAAGTTTTCATTTAAGGATTGACTGGGTTTTTATTTCGTCTCATTGAGGTATGAATCGAAAAAATGATGTGCAAACTGTAGCGGATTCTTACAAAAGTTTGCACATCAGAGTCATTATTTAAATACAGGTAAATATTTTTAAGGCGGGTACTTTTTACTGATATCCTTATCCTGTACGTAATATTGATATCTCATTTTAAAAAAAAAACGATGAGTGGGAGTTGTTTATCATACAAAAAAGCACTGCAGGGAGAATTACCCTGCACCCCTCTTGGTTCATCAGTGTTTTATTGTACGATAAACAACTCCCACTCAACATTTATTTTTTAAAGAAAAGGGACATCCTACTTGTCCATATGGAACCTGTCTGTGTGGTCAGTCTTTTTGTTACCGTATTCCACGTAATAAGCGCCCAGGGCGCTCTCAAAATTGGAAAAATAGGGGGCTTTTATTAGAATTTAATTTTGGTTAAAGAGTTGAAAGATCGTAAATTTCGTGGTTTATGCTGACAGCCTGAAATGATACAAAAGAAAAATCTGTGCGTATTATACACATATTATAGACATATTTTTCCAGAATTTAATTGCCCATAATTAAAGGGGCACTGATCTAACGCAATTCCCCGGGACTGGTTGTTGCCTTTGTTATTGTTTTTTCCCAGTGAGTACCCGGATGTATAGCAGAAATCTAGACTAGTTCGCGACCTCTGCTGCGCCATTCTTAAGCGCATTAGTCACTTGTATGGGTAGTAATAAGGGCGTATGGTCCCATTGATCAACAAAATGAAATAGAGTTTTCGAGATAATAAGGAAATGTAGGTATCTTTGTGGGTAGCATCGGTAATGGTCACGAAGTTTTGATAAGACACTTGCTTGGTAATTTTGCGATTTTCGTTTACACTATTTTGACTTGCAACACAAAGTAAATATTTCACCTGAGCATTGCTTTTATATAGTGTGTATATTTTTTTACTGTCAAAATGTGTAACATTTTCAAATTTATTAAACGCCTAAATATTCAGTTATTTTACAAAGTGACTGAAAAACATTTCCATCTGTATTATTATGATAACGAATTCCAAACATTTTGATGCTTAATTTCATCACCAAGAGACTGAAAATGTTACGTTGAAAAGTACATTTCTATGTTGTTTGGCTTCTAATCCTACATAATAATCTGTTGTGATGTTTGTAGGCCCTTTTGATCGTCTTAATCAATCTGAACAGATTTTTTAGTCAAAATGACTGAAATATTTACACATTTTATAAATTGCCTGAGAGAATCACGTTTTACAAATTGACGGTAATATATACACGCTTACAAAGGAAAAAGCCTGTGAAAACAACGTCTATCGCGCATTGAAGAATTTCCCAACCAAGACGTAGAGAAACAAGGACGAATCGGTTCAATGCTACAGCAAATGAAGGAAAACAAAATGCAAATACCATAATTACAACCTACCAAATTTATGTGTATAAATTTTAGGCAGCTTCCTTGTTCGAGGAATGTATCCATGAATATCAAAACAAAAGAACAATATCCCACTTGTCTGCAGCTGTACAAAGAAACTTATTTGATGTCACGTGTCTCTGTAACAATCACATATTTTAAAAAATATATATTGTTTGGGGATATTTTAACCCGTGTTCGTTTCTTAAAGCTCTGCACGCTAACGTCGAACCCATTCGACAGAGGTGTCCATCCCCGTGCATCTGATGTCGAACCCATTCGACAGGCGAATAGCATAACAACACCCCAAAATAAAACTCGCCATATCTATTTACCAAGAAGGCTTTGCGTAACATTTAAATTACGTATGACATGCATAAATGCTCAGCATGCTCAATATCAAAACGTTCAGTCATTTATTTACCTCAAAAAGAAAATATCGCGAGTTAAAAATGTTTCGGCCAAACTTCTCGGCACACAACTACCAGAAACGGCCATTGTTGACTTTTGGCACTTCACGTTGAGCGGCATGCACTCCGATATTTTCTTTATAATTTCATCATTTTTCCTATTCGATCATAATTTTTTGTTTGCTGACGAAAGGAAAACACTCATGTTCCTTAATTTCTAAAAATTAGCAACTTTCGGTGTAACTAATTGTAAACAAAAACAATCTGAATCGTAACATCATCGATTGGATGAAACTTGTACTATCATGGCAACGGCGGTAAACAAACAACTCCACATGCATAGTTATCCCGTTAGACTATTACAATCATTTTGTTACATCTAACTTAATTTTCTAGAATTATTGACACATATGTATAAATCTTTGTAAAAAGAATTTCATTTTTAAAGAGTTTGGAAATGATTTCTTTTGATAAACTTTCCGACACATTGACAAGCCGACAAACAGCTGACAAACGTCAGTGATACGTTTGGGCGTGGCCTAACTCGCGATTTGTTGAGTTGAACAAAGTCAACAAACACTGCGAAAAATGACAAATATTGGATGATACGCAAAATCTGAACTGATATACATTCTAGGTAAACCATTCAATAGCAAAATAATGCATTTTACGAGAAATAATCAAAATACTTGCAATTTTCGCTATCATTTCTGAAACCGGAAGCACGTACCGCATGTGACACATGGAAGCAAAATATGCAAAAGTTGGTAAGCTATCATAAAGAAATTCCGAAATAGATTCACATTCAAAAGAAAATACATAATTTACTATTTTTCGTCAACTCTTTACTATTTATTGATCTGGAGAGCAGTCTTCACTCCTATTTGTTTCATATTTCTTCGTGATTGTCGCCATCAAATGTGTAAGTCTAAATCCGAAACCGTAATGGATTTCACGCTCGATGATTTTAATTTTAAAATATTTTCTAAAAACGAACGCAAGGGAGAGCGATACAACGTATTGATATGCCATAATAATAACATAATATTGTTATAGGTCTAACATTACAAAAAGAAACAATTTAAATATTAAAGATGTTGTTGAAAACTTTCTGAGAACCTCCCGTCCAGTGAACCGATAAAATTTTGGTACACAACGAGGTAGGCTAGTGTAAATATATATAGATTCTAGGTTCCTATGTGATTTTGTACCCAAAACAAATTAAATTGTACCCAAAATACTTTGTGAATTTGTACCTAAGAAAATAAGAAAATAGATCTATAATTATATTTATGTTTTCATGTAGATGAACAGAACACACAATAAAATATTTCATCAAGTTCCAAATATGATTATGACGGTGATCCTTGAAATTGATTGTTTAGTTTTGAGAGAAAATTGACTTCTTTCCACTGAAGGAGAGGCCAGTTAAGTTGGTTAAACCTAAGTTAGAATGAATTGTTTTGATAGGAAAGTGATATGTTAAGTTTAAGACACCAAATTAATGTATATCTTTGAAATAATTCTAGGAAGATCTACAAAATCACATACCCATTTGGGTAACAAATTACTAGAAATTTTGGGTACAAAAGTCACCACTGTACATTTCAACTGATTTTCGTGAATCAATGGGATAAAAAAAAATCGTCTGAATGATTCCTTTTCTCATTTTTTAAAACAAGAATTTGTTTTACATAACAAAACAGGCAGATCTACACGGATCACGTTTAGTCCTAAAAATGTTTAAAATATGGACACCTCAGAAATGAGGGCTTATAAGGTTATAATTCTACCTAACTAGTCACATGGTTTGACTTAGATCTAGGTCTACCTAAGAAAAGTCCTTATGAAAATCTGTTTTTAATTTTTTTATGACACTGACATTTCTGGCACTTAGACAAAGAGTATTCAAGGAAAGACAGATATGTTTTTGAATGAAAATATGACTTTCCTTTATAATTCTTTTTTCATGATGACAGGGGAACCTTTATACACACCAGCTGAGGAAGTTGTGATACTGTGATTCCATACAAAGAAAAAACAGGTTGGAAGCAGTACCTGTATGTATAAAATAGACCACATAAGGTGAACAAAAGTAATGGATTGGCTGACTGGAAAAAATACATCTGGCAAGGGTAAACATGTACACAGGCATGTTTTTTTTCATTCCAACCAGAAGACTAGCTGAGATAGCATTTTCTAAGAAACCTATGGCAAACTTACCAGCTCATGTGCCACCATGGTTCTTGTGATTAAACAAACAAAAATGTCATGTACTGTTACAAGTACTGTTACTGTAATTAAATTAAATTAATTCCTATTAAATTATATTTCAGAATTGTTTTATTTGGAAACAAACCACATAATGCACAAGATTAATGTCCATATGGGTTTAGTATGTATATGTTAAGGATCTGATTTATTCATTATTCAGGGAATACTAAAATTAAAATGATGACATCAGAGAGTTACTTATTCACATAGTTGATTTTCAGAGTGCAAGATAATAATTGTTGAATAAATATGTTTAAACTAAAGATAATAATTGAAGTTTGATCAGTTACACTGTGCTGATGCAAAGACTAATATATACTGTCCCCACACACCATCATTGTGGGAAAAATAACTATTAAATATAACTTAAAATTTTAAAACCTGTAAACAGCTGTAAATAATTAAACAATTACAAATCTATCATCAATACGCAATCATGGTGGTCTTCATATTTTTGGAATAAATTTAGAAATCCTTCGTGTAACTGTTCTAAAATCATGCTAGAATCTATGAATGTATTCCCGAAAGGAAAACTATCCTAAATGTAATGTGGAACTAACGCCGAAAATATGTACGTAGCATTTTATTGCTCATATATACCCTATCATATTCAGCAACGCGGGGATGTTATTTTGAATCACGTTTTGTCAAGCCCATTTTCGCGCACCTGTTGAAGAGGGTGATCTTGCTGATCGACGATATCCATAGACGTATTACGTGGGATACACTTGTTGTAGTGAAACTTATCAGCGTGTACATCGCAGAAATATGAATCATGTCCCATTTATACTCACAACATTGAATGGTGATTCTTAAATATCAACAGAAGTTCAAATAAAAGATACCGAGAAACTTGCATGTGGCATATGTTGATTTATCGTCTACCGTTTCCGGGTCACGGGAGCATGCAAGGTCAAACGGATTAACTAATACGCGAATTATATCGTCAAAGTCACATTTTTATTTCATGTTAGTGGTGATTACTGATACTGTGTATCGACTTATGTTTTTGCTGTATGTGATAGGCGAACTATTTCAAAATTTACTGTAATTGTTTTGTTTCGAAAGCTTATCAGCAGACTACCCCTGTCTGTGACATCACATCCGGTGACCTATGCACTTATTGAAATAGTGCTGTCAGAATTCACGATCTTTATTTTCATTTTTCTCTCGTCATATTTATTGGAATATGACGAATAAAACATTCTTCGATTGAGAAAATCGTCAACTTTCGCCAAGTTATATTTATAAAGGCAATGTAAACTTTGTTGATATTAAAATAGCAATAAGTTATGCGGAGGTCGGGCGAAGCGCGCCATGTTTGATTTTAGGACGTCTGCTAGCATCATGACACGGGTTGTTTATTTTTGTATATCGTAAATATTCAACCAAAACGCTTGAAATTAGGATTAGTGAATATTTATAAGTCATTAATTGTTTCCTGCAAATTTTATAACATGACACGTCAGATTAACCCGAATATTCGTATTTCTGCAACCGACATGATGACTTCGAAAATTAAGTTATTTTTCTGTTTAACGTTTAGATAATAAATTCACTGAAATGGTTCATAATTTACCATCGCGCTGATATATGCCGATTATAAAACCCGAATTTTTACTCAATTAAAATTAAGATATCGGAGATATGATTATTGAAATCAATTTGCAAAAATGTTACGATATTAAAAGGTTCCTAGCATGAAATGCAAACCACCTTCAATAACGCAATTCAGGTAAGTTCAAGAAAATTTACAAATTTTGTGTTCGCTTTGGTCTTAACCTTGGTATGATTGAAAACACCAGAATATTTTTATATAGAATTGTGTAGTTTTCTATCAGGAATAAATGTGCAAAATATTTCTTCAATTGGCCCTTGTTTAATGAGGCACCGACTGTTTGAAATCACCCACCCTCTTTAGAGCGCCTTATGCTAAAATTAATCCAGCAGGCAGGGGTAAGAAGTGTGAAAATAATTCAGCAGGCTAAAGGTCAACTGATCACTTGGATTGTTTTAGGTGTTTCACACAGGTGTCAAGTCTCAAGGGTCAGCTGAGAAAGCCAGTGTGACAACTATTTTCATAACGTCCACAGTTCCTAAAAAATCCATTGAGTGATAGATAACAATGATCAATCAATCAACGTATTATCAGTTAACCCTTTGAACAAAGTATGTTGTTTTTACATCGGCACTTCACGCCATGATATGAGTGTATTCCCTTTGTTTTAGTAAACCTAGACATGTAAACACTCACTTTTGACATATCCACTGTGCAAGATAACAGTGATTAATCAATCAACGTATTTTCTGTTAATCCTTTGATGACTAGGAACGATCCGTTGATTTACAAAAAAAAGTAAATCAACTGATCATTCACCTCTTGCTGTAACACACATTTCACCTCACTTCAAACCTGGATTTAGATTGAATAATTACCCCAGACACAATAAATGCCAAATGGGAACCTTTGTCAGTAATCTAAGTGGTGCTACCACTAATTGTACCTGTAATAAATTCATTAACTGAGCATCAAGTGAATGACGACAAATACACAAGTGTAGGGTTATTCGAGAAAACGTGGATGACAACAAGGGAGTAGTAATCGTATTATCGTATTATCGACGCAATCCGAAATCCGAAAATGCTTTCACTGCATGGATACTTATTTTTAGTATTAAACTATAACCATCTGGGGTATTTCCAAATGACGACATCCGATGAGCTCCGCCGTTCTTTTTGTCTGTTTGTTTAGGTTGAAGAAATTAAATAACATGCGCCCTTTGTCGAAATCTTTATACATCACGGTTAACCAATCAGTGTTTATGCAAAAATGCGTAAAACAAATATTGCCTCCAGCCTCCAAGTTTATTTAGCTGTCCTTGCAGACGGTAGCCCAGTCTCTGGTCACGCTCAGTTGCGTTGCGTATCATCCGGGTACTCACGGGGAAAAAACAATAACAAAGGCAACAACCAGTCCGGGGAATTCCGTTAGATCAGTGCCCCTTTAAGGGTGCATGTAACACAAGAGTGTGTATTATACACGAATAAATAAGTCTTGTGTACATGGATCAATCGGAAGGGAGCTAATTGGGATTGTTCACTATATATATTAGCAAATATTGCCGTGGGCGCTTATTAGAGCGGGACGTTTATTACGTTGAATACGGTATTTGGTTTTGTATGTCTGCTTATTGAAAGTGTTCTCTGTTCCAGTAAGGGCTACTTTGTGGAACCAACAATAGTGGAATCCAGTGACCCGCAAGATAAAATAATGACTGAGGTAGGAAACTGATTTATTCTGCAAACATAACAAGGTCTTAACAAGTCTGCGATGTCCCAAATTCAGCTGAATGTTCGTTGTAAGGATGTAAAGAAGGTGCCTCCTGTTATTATCTGATATAAGGGGCGGTTGGGTAGCCTAGTGGTTAAAGTGTTGGCTCATCACTCTGAAGACATGGGTTCGATTCCCACATGGGTAGAATGTGTGAAGCCCATTTCTGGTGTTCCTTGCCGTGATACTGTAAATCTTGAAATTAACGCGGGCGTGAATTAAATGCGATAAATGCGAGTGGTCTTTGCTCTCATTGTTAAACATCGCATTTATATCAACAATAAGACATTTTGGATAGCAGAAATTACAACTTAGACATATTCTGAAAACAAACAACTATGTATTCCACATCAATGTTTATCACTGCAAGTCCAGACAGACGCCACCCACCCAACACGGTGTCTTTGTTCTTTGCAACTGCGTCAAAGGCCGACACGAGCATGCATGTATTGTTTTAGCAGAAGTACTCTACTCAGCACTAAAAAGCGGTGCTATTTGGCATGTGATTGGATTAATGTAAGGTTAGATTAAGGTGAGGATTCTCCTGTAAACCTGACAGAGGACATTTCTTTTATATATATCCACTGATGCTTGAGAGGAGGGGGGTGTCGCATTCATATTGAGTCGCATTTTTGGCTTGGGGCCAGCATTCGCATTCTTTTGGCGACACATTAATTTCATGATTTACAGTAGTGCTGGAATATTGTTACAAGTGGCATAAAACCTCACTCACAAGTGTCTGATATAACATTACAAACGTTTTCTGAATGGATACACATGCGTGTGTTCGAGAAGGTGAACTTTGGTAAACAAGCAGAAGTAAAGGTCTAATGCAGATATCCAGATAAGCTGCGTATCTGCGTGAAATACGCATCAGAAATGCAGAAATACGCAGTAAAATAAAATCCAAGCGTATCAAATACGCAACGAACATTACAGATACGCTACAAAAATAATATTTGTGCGTATCATCAAAATATTGTGAAGTAACCCTGCGTATTCGATTAGCAAATCAGCAACTTATTTTGAAATTATAAACGGGCATTTCGTCAACCTTGCCAAACTCCATGATGACAGTCACATCATGATCATTTGCCATCACACTTTCGTGTGGAAGTATCGTGTAATTTTTGAGTCCTTTAAAGCTCTCAAACCCACACGACACCAGTTTGCAGGGACTGGATGAATAGTGTTTTTAAATATTTAACTTAAATACCCACATGTGTAAAAACTAGTGGGTAACAGAAATTTGAATACGCAGATAGAATTACTGATACCCAATGATTTTAAAATGCATGGGTAAAATACCCACAACACCAAAAGCTTATCTGGAGCTCTGCTAATGGTAATTTTACGTTATATTTACAGCTGTTGATATTATCAGTAGTGTAAAGTGGCGCTGATGCTAACTATTGATATATTGACTTGTCATTGATGTGTAGACATTTAGGAGGCATCAATAGTTGGTAAACTTGAGGGGTGTACATGGAATATAAATTTGGTAACAATACATTGTTGAGTGGACAGTTTTGATCGTCTGTATCTTTTCTATTCATTTGCCTGTTCTGGGGAGGGCCATTTTGAATTTTGAGAATTGTGTTTCAGGAAATATTTGGCCCTGTTGTTACAGTCTACGTGTACCCTGACGAGAAGGCAGAGGAGGTTGCCAAGCTGGCCAACAATACATCGCCTTTCGCACTGACATGTGCCATATACGCCGAGGATGAGTAAGCACCATGCATACCATGATGGACCCGTGAAGATCCGGGGTAGAATAGGTCTTTAGCAACCCATGCTTGCCAACCCGTGAAGATCCGGGGTAGAATAGGTCTTTAGCAACCCATGCATGCCATAAAAGGTGACTATGCTTGTCATAATAGGCGACTAACGGGATCGGGTGGTCAGGCTCGCTGACTTGTTTGAAGCATGTCATCGTATCCCAATTGTGTAATTGTATGTCAATCACTGGATTGTCTGGTCCAGACCCGATTATTTACAGACCGCCATCATATAACAGGAATATTAATTAAGTTATTTTTCTGTTTAACGTTTAGATAATAAATTCACTGAAATGGTTCCTAATTTACCATCGCGCTGTTATTTGCTGATAAAAAAACCCCGAATCTTTACTCAATTAAAATTAAGATATCGGAGATATGATTATTGAAATCAATTTGCACAAATGTTACGATATTAAAAGGTTCCTAGCATGAAATGCAAACCACCTTCAATAACCCAATTCAGGTAAGTTCAAGAAAATTTACAAATTTTGTGTTCGCTTTGGTCTTAGCATTGGTATGATTGAAAACATCGGGATATTTTTATATAGTACTGTGTAGTTTTCTATCAGGAATAAATGTGCAAAATATTTCTTCAATAGGCCCTTGTTTAATGAGGCACCGACTGTTTGAAATCACCCACCCTCTTTAGAGCGCCTTATGCTAAAATTAATCCAGCAGGAAGGGATAAGAAGTGTGAAAATAATTCAGCAGGCTAAAGGTTAAACAACAAACAAACCAATATAACAAAGCATAACATGCTGTCCTTGAAGCACAAGATGACAGAGTTAGTACTGAAATAAGTGACACTGTGCTTTGAAGTCGCTACAAATATATGGTTAACCTCGAAACAAAGTGAAATGTTATTTCCTTGCACCAAAACTAGACAAGGGCCAACCTTGATGGTAACAGACACGCTGACTTCGTTCGTAAAATATACTTATATGAGTGAGTGAGTTGGGTTTAACGCCGCTTTTAACAGTATTCCAGTTATATCGCGGCGTGTCAGCTTAATGTGGGAGGAAAGCCCGAAGTGATGCAGGTCTCGGACGTTTACCACTTCGGTGAAACCCACGAGCACGGGTATGGTGCTGACAAACCTAGAAACATAATCGAGGCGAACCGGGATTCAAACCCACAATCATAGGTTTCTGGCGTGCCCAAGGGACGCAACTCTGCGCAGCGAATCGCGGCGCCTTAGACGACTGGGCCACCCGTGCCCCCCTACTTCTATGAATATCGCCAATGTTGTGTTCAACAACCAAGATTTATAAGGTCATTATTTTGCCGGTCCACAGGGACTGGCAGTTACATGAATTACCGGTCCAAGCCTAATTGTACTGGCAAAGACTGGTAATTACCGGTAAACGGGAACACTGGTCCTGGGTAACAAAACGTCCCAAGCTCTCCGTTGTAAGCTGCTTGTTGTAAGGACTCAGTCAATCAGATCTTGTGTTTAGGAGTTAAACGCATGTCACTCACTCACTGAAAATCTCTCTATTGAAAAGGGCTTAGTGGTAGTGGTTGTTTCCCAGGTCTGGGTTTGATTCCCACATGGTAACGATGTGTGCAACCCATTTATGGTGTTCCCCTGCCCTGATATTCTGGAATATTGCTGACTGGGGGGAAAACAAACTCACGTTCACTCGAATATATTTTATTCCAGGAAAGCGAAAAACAAGCTGTGTGATATTTTCCGTGATACTGCTGGAAACTTCTACATCAACACCAAGTCTACCGGGTCCGTGGTCGGCCAGCAGCCCTTCGGCGGAGGTCGCCTCTCAGGTAACGATCAGAGCAGTCATTGTATTATACAGTATAGGATACAAATAGCAGCACTTTCTGGAGTTTCTGCCTGGTACTATGGAACCACCAGGGTGGTGTAGTGGATAGAGCAGTTGTTATCCTACTAAGGCTGGGACGGGTAACTCGGGTACTTGGGTCGGGTGGGTCCTGAGTAGGATACCGACAGGACTACCCAGACCCGTGGTTAGACACGTGACATGTTGTTTAATGACAAAACTTACCTAAAACTCTATGGTTACCCTATAAGTCACTAATGTTCCCATTTCTTTCTGACAATGCACCCATTCCTTCTGACTTTTATGTGTTTGAATAAAGATAAAACTTCATGCAGTAAACTTCAGTGTGTGCATGACCAGATCCTTTTACACGTGTATCTAAATACATTTTGACAGGGCTAAGGTCAAACTTTTCCAAATCGGACAGTTTGTACCTATCTCTAAATATCTACAGCGGGTACCCCGGTAGGGTCGGGTAATAGGGAGGTGGGTGCCTGGGTATTAAATTTGGACTCGTCCCAGCCCTATATCCTACATGATACGTAGCATTAAAGGGGATAGAACAGGGACTGGACATTCGTCTGGATTAACGGATCTAGTACCGGGTACCTTGGTGATCATAATGTTTTTTTGAAAAATAAGGCAAAAAAGGAAGTGGAGAAGACCTGATTTTTTGTAAGTGCAGTAAACTATGGATATAACAAACTGACTGATATATCAAACTTATTTTTTTTGTCCCGACCATCTGCTGTACATGTGCTGTATATTTGCTTATAACGAACTAGGGTTATAACGAACTAAAATGAGTGATCCCTTTGAGTTCGTTATAGCCGTAGTTTACTGTATAGTTAATCTGTCGTGGCCTGTGGGTATTGCAATGCTCAGCCTTCCAATTCTGGGTGTTCTTAAACTTTTTAGTGGCAGTACAAAAGACGTGATCACTCAGTTACATTGATTCATTAATCTGGACAATAGAACCAGAATAGGAACCGTCCATATTAACAAGGTGTCACTTTACACTATTTCAGAGTTAAAATGGGTTAGTGTTTTCCAATTCTGAGGCGACAAAGAACACAAAGGCTTTTTTATTTAAATTAATAATTTAATGACCATTTGTATTAAGGGTGATATGGTCAACAATAGAAAGCCTGGCAATAGATTTCAATATTTTTATTATGCTAATCAGAACAATACTGATCAGGTGAGTGACGAGTGTCATTTCAAGTATTAGCCAGGGTTGGTTGATGAGATTATGAACCAAGTGTGTTTTGTATCATAAATATATACAGTCAAACGCCATTGTGTCGAACTTACAGTTGTCTCCAAATGAAAGCTTGGTAGTTGGGTGTTTCTTTGTTATTCATCATTTTCGGTTTTGTCGAATTTCGGACAGCTCGAAAAATGTACGTAGTCCCTTCTCCTTCAACACTGCTTTTGAGCCTCACCTGTTTAGAGCCCTAAACAATACGTCATCACACGCTAAATAACGTAATCAAGGTAGACGCTTCAAAGCTCAATGAAGACATCATAGTGTCAACCACTTGTCGCTGAAGTTAAGTTACGAATTAAGCTACACGAGGTAAAATATTCAGTAAGTAATGAAAACTGACTTTTGTTACTAATGCACATTTTAATCAAACTTGATGATAATTTTGCATCAGAACAATCGTATACACTAATGATGTATCGGCCGCTGTTTGATAACTTCCTGTTTGTAATATCATGCATCTTCCCGAGGCAAGAGAGTTAACTGACTATAAAAGTCATTTCCACCCTTGCCGAACTAGGCTGGTATTATGGAGTTACATTTTGGCTGGACTAACGAGTCTATGCATAGTCCAATCAAAATCGTGCACCGAAATCGAAATCCGGTTCGTAAAGTGTCATGCACATTTTGGTCGACTGCAGGATTTGCAAAGCATGTGCACCGCTAACTCGTTGTCAACAGATATTTTCTAAATCTTTTCATGTTTTTAATCAAGGTGCTCACGTGATTTGATGCACTTCGCGATGTAAGACTCGTTTTATCACAATATAGATCTTGATTATCGATCAGGTCGTCTTGACTTGGCGCCACCGTTTTGTTTGAAGCAAATGCAAGTGATACGAGAGGTTGAATCTGATTGGTCAATAGGAGAGGCATAGAAAGGACATAACTCGTAATAGCCACTGGTGGCGCTACGATCGAGCCCAGTAATTCCAGCCAAGTTCGGCAAGGGTGGAAACTGGACTTTTAAAGTCAGTTAACTCTCTTGCCTCAGGAAGATGAATGTCATGTGACAAGATGGCGCCTGATCGACTCGTCAATCTAGGCGAGGCATTGTCACTATGAAATTAACAAGACATGGTTATATGACCATCAAAGTGTTAACAGAAATAAATGTTCTCAAACGTGGGACTTCATTGTAGTGTACTGGGATTGTTATAAGACACACTGTGCGAAATACTTATTAGGGGCTCGAAAACCAATAACACAAGGATATAGAATAGTCACAAACTAGACGTCTGGTTCGTAAACAACATGGATTTCAATGTGCATGTTTCGATCGAATGCAGGATTTTCATCATTTTCAAACAGCATGTGTTTCGTCATTTGGGTGACATTTTCCAGATCTTTTCATGCTTTAAGCAAGATGCACTTCTAGAGATGCACTCTGATCGTCTTGACTGGGCTCGGCATTTTGTTTGGAGTAAATGCAAATGATATGAGAGGTGGAATCTGATTGGTCAATAGGAGGAACATTGAAGGGATATAACTTTTAATAGCCACTGGTGGCGCTACGATCGAGCCACGGCATTCCTGCCTAGTTCGGCATGGTGGAAACTGAACTTTTGTAGTCCGTTAAGTCCCTTGCCTCAAGAAGATGGCCTAATGTATGATGTTTATTTATCAATAGCCAAGCATGTCATATCTACGATACGGAAAAATACGAGAGTAATAATCTGTTTATCATATTTTGGATGTTTAAGAATTTCACTCAATGAAATATCTTTAGAAACTGCATATGAATTTGTGATTTAATCAAACTATTTATCCTATAGTGCCAAATAACTTGTGGTCCTACTTCTTGCCATGTTTTGGCACATTCGACACATTATCTAAGCATATTGGGGATGTTAGTCAATAGTTTATTAAGAGAGTAGGCAATGCATTGATGAATTGAACTTGAAAGTAGTTCCTGTAAGGTGACCTCATTTGCATACATATCAGATCGTGATACCAAGGTTAACGGACTGCACACTCTGTCGCAGTGGTGACTCAGCATAACACCACTGCCACAGGCTAATTTGCATATCACGTGACAGGACTTTTCTCTTGTTTGTAAACAAACACGCTTTTTCAGAAATCAGTATAGAACGGACTAATGCAAGTATTTGGGGGCGCTTTACATATTGTTTTGCATAACTATATAGATATGCTACTACAACTGCGACAGTGAGTTGCATGACAATTTATATTTATGCATCAAAGTGACCGTGTCACTAGCTCTCCGTTGGGCTTCGATGACAGCACGTGGAGCCGTACAACCAATGTAAACATAGGATAACTACGCAAAAACAAGTAGATTTTTACGTATTTGCATACTTTCTTGATGAAAGTTAACCATTCTTTGACATTTGTTTATGAAAATGTGTAGACTTGTCAAACATGAAACGGATGAAAAGCATATGCAATATCTTGAATGGACTGTGAAAGATGTTACGAATCGTCACATGGCGCTGGCCTGTGGCAGAGGTACTATGCTAGCTGGCTGCCGGCCGCATGGAACTCTGGGTAGGAGAGTGGCATTGATAACACGATCCAGTGTATGATAGATGTGTCTTCTGTCTACGCAGGTACGAACGACAAGGCTGGCGGTCCCTACTACATGTTGAAGTTTACGTCTGTCCAGTCGGTCAGCGAGGCGAAAGTGCCACTCAAAGACTGGCGATATCCCTCCATGAACTGAACAACCAATCAACCGTCGGAATTCAGAGGGAGAGGTTCTTGTGTTTTGTGTACGAAAGTGTGGATGATGAACAAGGACCGGCAGTATATTCCATATTTCAGTGCTAGGAAATATTATATTTTGATTGTATTGCCGGCTGTGTTGAGCTATAGAACAAAGGAACTAATTTTAATCAAGTTGGTATTGGCGATACAATTTATTGGTATGAACAAAGCCATGTGGAGATTGAAAGCAGTGGTATTAGCATGATTTTTTATATAGTGGGGAAAACGGGTGGCCTAGTCGTCTAAGGTGATGCAATTAACTGTGCAGAGTTGCATCCCTTAGATGTGCCAGGAATCTGATTGTGGGTTGAATCCTGGTTGGCCCTGATTATGTTTCTTGTACAATACCTGTGCTTGTGATTATTTTTCTTGTACAATACCCGTGCTTGTGGGATTCTCCAAAGTGGTCAACGTCTGGGACCTGCATCACTTCGGGCCTTCCTCAAGCTGACACGCCGCGATATAACTGAAATACTTTCAAAGTGGCATGAAACCCACTCATTCACTTTCATATAGTAATAGGTCAGTGGTCTAAGGCACTACAATTCACTGTGCAGAGTTGTGTCCCTTTGATTGCAGGATCTGCTAGTTGTCATTTGAATGTCAACAGGAATTTGAATGACAATATCAAACACCCCTCTCAGAGTTTGTATATGGAGGGTGTTCCATCGTAACAATTATACAATTTCACTGTTTGAATGAGTGCTTCAGATTGCTGGGCATGTCGTATCCTCAGCAGTTATGATCCTTGATCTGTTAACTCTTGGTTAAAGTGATAACCACTTCTTGTTGCCCCTATACTACTGTCAACTATGCAGCTGCTGAAGTAGAGATAAACATCACACTCCAAGTGAGATGTAATGAATGTTATTTAAGGCTAACAAAATAATAGTCTTGGTTCACAGGCACCGCCCCCACCATCAAGATCTGGGGGTGGTCGGGTAGCCTAGTGGTTACAGCGCTTGCTCGTCATGACAAATGCCCGGGTTCGATTCCTGACATGGGTACAATGTGTGAAGCCCGCCACAATGTGTGTCCCCTGCCACGATATTGCTGGTATATTGCTAAAAGCGGCGTAAAACCATACTCACTCATCATAAGATCTGCTTCACGTTTTCAAAACAAACAAAAAATCCTTAAATATTTCATGTCTCTAACACACAATTCATTGTAAGTAGTCCAGCGGTAGTCCAATACTGTCTTCTAGTCTTTTACGCGTCAAAGAATACATTTATGTAGGGAGGCCCTTTCCCAGGTTGATCGTACACAACTGTCTATATGGTAACATACTTGTTTGAAGAAGAAGAAAAAACACCGCCTGCCCACACTATATTTTCAAGGGGCGGTCGGGTAGCCTAGTGGTTTAAGCGTTCGCTCGTCACGCCGAAGACCCGGGTTCGAATCCCGACATGGGTACAATGTGTGAAGCCCATTTCTGGTGTCCCCCGCCGTGATATTGCTGGAATATTGCTAAAAGCGGCGTAAAACCATACTCACTCACTCACTATATTTTCAAAAGTTATTGCCTGAGAACCAATTCTTTTATTTTTTTAATCCTTAAGTAGCCTATGAACATAGTGAATAGTATCTAGTCTGTCTTGGTATTATAACTGATCAGTCCCTGTTAATACATATTTTGTTCATGTATAACTTTGTATATTGTACTGTGCTTGTGGGTTTCGCCAAAGAGGTAAACATCTAAGACCTGCATCACTTCGAGCTTTCCTCCCACATCAAGCTGACACGCCGTGATATAACTGGAATACTGACCGAAGCGGTGTTAAACCCAACTGACTGACTTACCTACAATTGTATGTTGTATATAATAGAAGTACACGTGTATCTACATATAGAGTATAAGTGTGGGAGAAAGGTCTAAGGTGCAGAGTTGCATCCCTTAGCTGTGTCAGGATAAACTGATCATTGGTTTGAATCCCAGATTTGTCCTGATTATGACCCAGAGTCTTTTACAACATACCATGTACCTTGGTTAACCAAAGTGGTAAATATCTCAAAAAAGGATGATATGATATGATACAGGAATGTTTTTATTTTTGTTGTTAAAACACATTATTAGTATTTTGAGTTTATGTTTAGATCTCTAAGGATGCTTGTAGTCTTGTAGCATCACGAGTTGGCACCACATGTGGGACATTTCTTTCAAGGTTTTTATTGACTTGAGCTGTTGAAGCAAACCATCATTTTTAGCCATAATGAATTTTTTAGATTTTCATCCTGGCTGCCTTACTACCGGTAAACAACACCCTGCTGCACATACAGGGAGTGGAGTACACGGATGTACATCTTCCCGAGGCAAGCGCGACCGCTACCCTTTTTATCAAAGTCTTGTTTCCATCCTTGCCACATCAAGCCCACTTTCCTGCGCTAAATATGATTGGACTATCGCACATATCGTAGTCCAATCAGAGAACGTTTCACAAAATCATCATCCACGACTGGTACACCTTCGTATAAATGATTTACCACTGAAATATGTCTTTTTCATCTTTTAACCCCCCCAACGATTGCCTCTGTTTTGTGTTGGGATGAAATCGTGTTTTAGTGTCTAATCGACTTGGTCGTTGCCTATGGTAGTCGGCATCTTTGTGAAGCTATACGAGATAACAGCGATCTGATTGGATATCCTGTTTTCATTACAAGGGGCACAACTCATGATCGACACGAGGTTGCACAAGGGTCGAGCTAAGAAAAGTTGCCTTGATGTGGCAAGGGTAGAAACTAGGCTTTGATATAGGCTAGTGGACACGCTTGTCTCGGGAAGATGACAGATCCATTGCACAGTTTGTTTGAAAAAATTATATAAATTAAAATTCCTCCCACTTTATGTTATTTTTATGAAAATATATTAATGCATTTATTTTGACTGTGTTTGATTATGTATTTGTCTATTCCACTGATTTTCTACAACGATCTGACTTTTTTAAAAACCAGAAATAATAAACATATCATTATTTACAGGATGTATACTTAAATACACTGTATTAGCTTCAGTGGCTCTCTGTTATAAGCATTTGTTTCTCATGCTTGTGTTTCGGCTTGTTGTTTTATGATTATCATGATTATAACATTATTGATATAAGTGAATGTTGCTAGGGTCAAGGGCAGCTATAAGCTGGAACGCTTTGGCCGATTCTCTCAATTTAAATCAACTGTTTTTCTGATTTTTTTTTCAGGCAGTTTATGCCAGTGTGTGTTTTTATGAGAAATATTTGGATAGCTTCTTTTGGAGATGATCTCATGGTTCAAACATCAGTAAAGACATTACATGAACCAAAGAAAATATATAAAGCAAGAAATTAATTTGATGTGGCCTGAGTGTAGTTAGATATATTGGTTTTTAAGCCTTATTATTGGCATGTCTATAAAATGTGTTTTTTGTAAAATAGGTTTGGATGATCTCAGTAATAACATTATGTGACCCCAAGAAAAAAAAAGAATTTTTTGGTTGTTGCCTGAGTGTATTGAGATATTAGTACTTTTGTTTTTAGAGATTATTATCTGCATGTTTATGAAATGTACTTGCATCGTTTGCTTGGACAGTATTGTTTTTTCCTAGCTGTGTATAGGATGTACTTTTGTATGTTCTTTTTATTAACCGTTTTCATGATTGACATATTCTGTGTGAACAAACAGCTGATTTATCAAAGAAAAGAACAAAATGTGGAAAGATCAAGACAAATTATTTCGACCTATTTCATGTTAAGGGTGGCCCAGTGGTTTAAGATGGTGCTATTCATTGATACCTTGTAATCATGGGTTCAAGTCCCAGCACTGCACAATATATTATTCCTGATAAAATGATAATTTCAGATACAATTCTTCTCATCATTGTATCAAAATTCATTAAAGTTATATGATTGGGTAATTTTTAGCCGAATCACTGGTAGATTACGACAAAACATGTTTACAGCTGATTTCTGCTTCCGGCTAAGGTTACGAGACAATACACTTGGTAATCTTAATTCTGCATATACAACAATGCCAATCAGAACAGGAAATATAATTTAATCGGTGAATCATGTCTATTGATCTTTTATCCCAAATTTCAAATTTGTATTGACCAAGTTTATCTATCATCGGTTCGTTTCCCTGAATTCTATTTTGTTCATTTTCCTGAATTCTCTGAAGGGATACGATGTATTCTTTTTCTGCGGAAGATAAACGTGTTATTATTGCAAATGTTGGGATGTTGTATGCGCTGGTGATGTGCTGCATCCAATTTGCTCTACCGACGGGTATATAAATAGGGATTGATTTAGAAGTTTTTTTACAGGGGGGTTGCCTTATAGGTGGGGCTGCTTTATAGACGGCGATATACGGTACTACTCTTGTAGGTTGTACGACAGGGGTATGCAGCTATTCTCGGGTACTCGGGTACTCGGGTCCTCGGGTCGGGTGGGTATTGAGCAGGACCTGAATACCCACATTGTTTAATGACAACAATTATCCACAACTCCATGGTTGCACTACAAGTCACTGATGTTCGCATTTCTTTCTGACTATGAACGCTTCCTTCTGACTTTTATATGTTTGAATTAAGCTAAAGCTTCAGTCAACTTCAGTGTATGCGTGACCAGATCATTTTTATGTGTAGCAGTGGGTTTGATTTAAGCTGGTAAGACGGCAACGTGGGTGGTGGGTGACCTACCATGCCACACTATTATCAACCCTCTTCTTGCACGTAATGCACGGACATAAGGTGTGCAGGGTTGCCAAGAAGCGGACGTCTACGTGTAACTCTGTTATGTCAAGACAAGGCTATTGACTGTTCTCACCTGCCCTGCGCCAACGCCACCTACCACTGTCGGCTGCTTCCAGACAGAACCGAGTCGGCAAATACTGTGCGTCTGTCAGCGGTATGTGCCAACATACATTATGTAGTGTGTGCGTTTCTTTTGGAATTGAGCATATAGGGTTGTCATGTAATTATACCACCCACATTTTGTAGGGGTGGCTATCGATACAGATTATAGAGATCCATAATCATTAACTAAATATTGATCAATTTTCGATAAATATCCGAAAAGTATCTTGGAGCAAATACGCAAAAAGAAATCAACATATTTCACATCACTGGTGAGTGGTGCACATTTATGCAGGGATTACTTTGTGGACATTTGAGATATAACAAAAACAGTCACTTTCCCTCTTCAGTAATTAACATTTTTGACAATAACAAGTCTGTTTGGTAAATCTAAACTTTATTTCATCACAATAGTTTATGTAATGTATTATCGATGACACAATTTTCATATCGATAATCATTAGTATTTCTTCCCATCGACGATAATTCCGATTATCGATCTTTTTTGCCAGCCCTACACATGTGTATTTTGCATGTACTATGAATGGGTACCCGGTAGGATGAGATGGCAATGTGATTGTTAACCTTCTAGCGCCTCCCAGGCAGTTTGGGTTGTATACTCCCCAGGGAGCCGAGAATGATGATTGAGTGCACATTATTATTATTATTATTATTATTTTTTTTTTTTTATTTTTTTTTTTTTATTATTATTATTTATTTTAAAACCAGTAGGAATTCAAACTTGACCACATCAGCAACCGTTTTTTCAGCATAAGCTAATATCAATCATTCCATTGGGTAAATACGGCATATTTTATGATTGTAGGTTATGTTTAATTCAAGTCAGGGCGGTCGGGTAGCCTAATGGTTAAAGAGTACACTCGTCAGACCGAAGACCCTGATTCGATTCCCGACATGGGTATTTCCGGTGTCCCTCATCTTGATATTGCTGGAATATTGCTAAAAGTGGCGTAATACCAAACTCGCTCACCAAATTCAAGTCAGGTTTGTCCCTTTCAAGACTCCAGAATAGAATGACGCCATAGTCGCCAATGCTTGTCACAAGATCAACTTAAATGGATTGGGGTGTCGGAGACTTGGCTGATTGTTGTCACGGGTGACGTGTGCTGTAATATAGCGGGAAAATCGCTGACAGTGGCGTATAACAACATTCACTCACATGTACTCCTGACCTAACATGCAGTTTGTCACAGGGTTAAACTTCTCGATTGCAACGAAGTCTTGTTTTTGATGTTTCTGCATGTTTGCAGTGGGTATTTGATGGTGTTGTGTTGTTACTACAGTCTTGTACATGTCTTTTGTGCCTTGGAATGTTTTTATTCCTTATCAGCATGATCAGTTTAAATGTTTTTTGTTAAGAATTTGAATTGTACCCCACCAGGAGTAAAGAGACCTTATGGGTGCTGGGATACAAGAGTGCGGGCACGTCATAAAGACGTTCAAAGTTAACTTACTTCAGTGAAGATTGATATGTAATATCACTGTAATAGATAGGAATTGAAGCTTTTGAATTGTTTTTTTGTGTTGTAAAGATGCTGTAGTTTTGAAATATAATGAAAAGTGAAAATGTGATTTT